TTTTTTCCTTTGGTATCTTTTCCCTGTTGAAGGGATGATTTGTGAAAGTCATCTTTCCTCATCATAAAATACTTTGAATCAAGTATTAAAATGTGTATAGGGATTTTTGTCCATCCAGAAAATGGGATAGTATTGGAACAATCAGTAATCCAAACTGCCAAGTCAGGGAGTAAAAGTAAATTGACATTGTGATTTTAATAGATAAAGGTTTTGTCTAAGCCTATGTGAAAGTAAATGTGTTGTCCTCCAAGATGAAGAGTTTGATTACATATTAACTCCTAGGAGTATGGAGGTGTTTATTCCACTGCAGTTGTTGGGTTTTTTCCTTCACAGAATGAAAACTTTGCAGTGGAGTCGGGGAAACAACCAATCACATTTGAAAATCCAATGTATACAACCAGAGATGGTGGAGCCAGCACAGCTGGTGCAGTTACAGTCATTCAGCCAACACTTGTAAGATAAATTTTTGCTTGACTTTTACCTTTCATTTTCCCTTATGTCCACCTTTTCTTCTTTGAAGAATGTTGATTTTCTTTCTTCTCCTGCAGGTAGCAGCAGCTGGAAGTGAGGAGAATGAAAATTTTGAAAATCCTGTGTATTCCTCTGTGATCTCTACCACAGGAAGGACCAGCCCAAAGGAAACCCCTCAGAGTACAGATGCCCCTCCGGTAAGAAATAAATATGCTCTAGGGCTGCCTTGTTTGTTTTCTGCTCCAGATCAGAAAAATTGAATTGCTAGGGAGATGCAGTCAACTTATTGTAGTTTCATGTCCCTCAATAATTTCGCTTATGTTGTTTTCAAGACAGTTTTTTCCTTTCTGATATACTTGTCTGGAATATAGGCTTTTGTGAAGTAATTCAGTAATTCTTGTTGCCTAATCTTTAGTGAATACTTCTTTAGGTAAAATAACTTGGTAATCTAACAAAAAAAGTAATTTGGGCTCCATGCTTAGAATTACAACATAGTGATATAAGAACATCCATGTGAAGTCACTGGTGTAGCAGTCAAATGGAATCCAACACTGTAATGGCAGTTTCCAGAGAAGTTTCAAGAAAAATGTGTGATGTTCTAATAATTTTTATGTTTCAGGAATCAAAGTGGAGTTTCTTCAAGAGAAAAAAGAAACAAAACACTAATTTTGAAAACCCAATATATGCAGAGGTATTGTTTATATTATAGAATTCTATTTTCAGCTAATGTACTGATGGACTTTGTTCTTGCTTTCAGGATAAAGATTTTTGGTAGATTCTGCTGCTATGTGGAACAGCACAGAAATTCCAGTTCAGGTTAGGGACTGAAGTGGTTGTCAGAGGTTACTAAATGTCATGCACAATGAGGTGTTGAGCAGGCTCAGCTCAGGTGGCACAGCTGCTCCTCTCATTAAGCATTAAAGTAGAAGTTCTAGTGTATGGAGTAAGTTTCTAGTATTGTTTTTACTCAGCTGTACTATCTAAGGTGAAATTAGCATTTCATTTTGTTACAGGTGGTGTTTTGCAGAAATAATTTATACCATGATATTTAACTTTAGGAATATTTATTTACCGTTTCTGAAAGCTAATGTTGGATGTATGGTGCATTTGAATGTAAGGTTTTATTTTCATGTTGCAGATGGAAAAGGACCAGCAACAGGACACAGAAAATGTCCCTACCCATTCTCCTTCACTGCCTCCCAAGATTATTCTGAAGAGAGACCAACCAATAGCTTACACGGCAACAGAGGATACATTTAAAGACACCGCCAGCCTTGTTAAAGAGGACTCTGTGGTGTAACTAGGTAACTCATTTAGGGAAAATTAGACACATCCATTTGCACATATATTTTTTATAAAAAGAAGTGTAAGGTTCACATTCAAATGCTTTATAAAAATATCTACATCTCTTAGCGAGTGGCTGGAGACGTACATTGAAACTATGCCTTGTTTTTTTGACAAATGCCAATTTCTATTTTTATGAACAATTATCGTGATGTACTATATGTATATCTTTGCACTGAAGCTGTCTGAAAGTAATGTTATAAATATATTGTACATTTGTAAATTTTTCTAAGATTATCTTGTTCAGTGATGTTGCTAGTAGAAATTTGTATGGAATTGGTCATATATTTAGAATTAAATTAATTATATAAATGCTTAAAACTGAAAAAAAAAAGAGAACCAAACAGGCACATAAAGGAACATGACTGATTTACAGGGTCTTTAGAGTGTACCTTATATAACAGCACCTTTTGAAAATTCTGCTGGTGCTCTGGGCATCCTTGCCACCTATTTTATATAGTACTGTATATAAAAATGGGTATCTCTCCATCTTGTGTTAAACAAAAGATGAAAGAGTCAATGCAGCATTATTATGCTGATTAGTTACCTGTGCAAAATGTTGTTCTTACAATACTTTAATTGCCTGATGTAATTTCCTCTTAATCTATAAGACACATACTTTTCCTCTAGGTTCCAATTAACACAATTCCATTAGTAGTGTTCCTATGAAGATTGGATATATTTAGATTTTAGTGCCACAACTACTTAATGAGCTTTTCTTTTGCTCATCAATGGAATACCTCTGTTCTTGGCTGGAGTCTCTGGAACTAATTTGTACTATGAAGTAGCTAGGTTTCTGTAGCAGTTATTTCCAAACAGCAAAATATGAAAGATACTGGTTCATTTCAGAAATTCTTCAGGTTTTTTTTAAATGTGAAAATTTAATTTTATTGACTATTTATTTCATGAGGTGGATATTAATAGAAAGGGAAACAATTTTTACTAATGCAGTCTTTGTGGTTATCTGGTTGTTCTTCTAACCTTCTATCAGAATATACTGTTGAACTTTTTAGCTTTTCTATTAATTAGCCAAGATAGCTTCCACAACATGAACCATTTGAGAAAACTCCGATTACAGGACCATGTTCTTCAGCATTCCTGGCTAGCTACTCATACAAAAGATTCCTGAATTTATAATGATTGAGACTTTTGCTATTTGATTGCTATTTGATTGTTTTATATATAAATTCTCAAAATATATACTATTTCTAATTAGAATGCTTGTAATTACATTGTAACATACTTTGATTAGAAAAGACAACTGGAAAATGATGCTGCTGAATAAGTTTAATAAACATATTATTTTATCATATTCCTATTCCATAATTTGTGTCAAGACTCTATGTACTTTTTTTCAGTTGTGGAGACTTCCGTGCACTCTGAGATGAAAACAACAATGCTTTAGATATAGTAAAACAAGAATAGTGCTTACTGCTTCACATAACTGTCTAAAGTTCTTCCTGTAAGATGCTGTCTTTGACATTGTATGTCTGTAAGTGTGAAAGCTGCCCTATTACACGTATTCAGTAAACTGGCCCTTGAAACAGGAAACTTACTATTGAGGGACTGACAATCAAGATAGTATGGACATAAGTGATTAAAACCTTATTTCAATTACCTTTCATATCTGATATCAGAATATGATGCTTTGCTTTTTTTTTTTTTTAAGCACATTATGTGTTTTTAAAAGAGTTTTTTTCTGAGTGCATTAATGTAGAAAATTCCTTAGAGTCTGCAACACAGCAGACATATCAGTAAGGATTTATTCGAGATGCAAGGTGCTGTTCTTAAGGAAAGAATTCACAGGGTTTTAAAGGGAGAAGGCAGAGCTGACTCTTCTAAAAGACTTGCCTGCAGTCACATGCCACGAGAATAACTAGTGTCAGTTTTGGGAATAGTTTTTGTCAAAGATTTGGAACCAGTGTTGGTGAAAACTGCTAATATGTGAACCATGTATCAGCAATATTTTTTTTACCCCTGTAATAGTTTTAACTTTTCAGATATGGAAGAAAACAGTTCTGGGTTACTCTGCTGTTAGGTAGTATGTAGGTTTAGTTGTTTAGCATATCTGATGGTGAAGGATTCCTAAGCTTCAACTGGGACTCCTCCTCTCAGTAGCATAGCTACTGAGTACCCTTCTGATTATGTACTCTTCATCAGTGTACCCTTCTGATTATGTAAAATTTAGACTTTGGTACTTTGTACAACAGAAGTTTTAGATTATACTGATAATTTCGTTTTTCACTTGTATTCTTTTTCCCTTATCAGGACAGTCCCTGCTTGAATTTTTAAATTTTGGACTCATTCTGTTTCAAAGAAATCTGACTCTTAGAGATTTTTAACAACTGTCTGTATGCTGCAACTATGCTGATAAATTATACCATTAATTTTTTTCATGTACATTCTCTTTAGAGTTGCCAGACCAGATAGAAAGATTTCTCTCTCTGCAGGTATTTATTGTGAAATGAAGTAAAATAAATTTATTCTTGAAGTCATTTGCTAGAGAATAGAACTTCAATTAAATACTTAAAGGTTACTAGCACTTTTTACATACTGTGCTTTTTTTGCTCATTGCAAATGCACACGCATGCCCTCTCACACACAGTGATGAAACTTCTTAGTTTGGAGTTCTGACCTGCACATGGTCAGAAGCTTTTTTAAGCTTAATTGAATTGCACATTAATGATTAATCACCAGCACAGCACTTCTGCAAATAAAACCTTTACCCCTTCAATTTTAATATCTCTAGGAGCACCAGTTGGTGAGCCTCTGGCCAACAGATTAAGAGATAGAAATAGTGTACAAAAGGCACAGTAATGTCAGCTAACGTTTTGCCATTCTGAACACACTCTGTACAACAGAAAGAATTTGCTATGGCCTACTCTAATGACCTATTTCATCTGATAAGTTAAATAATAATAATTTTAACTTGCAGAACACTGAGGATGAAGGAAATACAAATACACATTGTTTTTGTATTTTCCCCATAAACTATACTAATATTAGGAAGACAGTTAAAGTTTGCATTTCGATATTCTGTTTGTATAAAACAGTAGAGTTTTGATTTCCCTTAGAATTGCATATCTGTAAAATTGCTTGTGGTTTTTTTTCCTGCAGAATTGAATAATCAAGGGGTCAGATACTATAACTGTAATTTCTGGAATATGCTGCAATAGCTGGACGTCATTATTATTTGACTTCATGTCTTGTGTGAATAGTATTAACTAGCTTTGTAGTTGAAAATTTTATGAATGCAGATCCTATAGAGGTATAATTTCTGAGCAACAGCCTTCAAAAACGTGCTGGATTTACAAGCCTAGCTATGAACTCAAAATTTCAGGTAAGGTGGGGTGAGGGATGGAGAAAGTGTCTTCTGAAAAGAATTTTCACAATCTAGTAACTGGATAGAAGAGGATATCTAGTTTTGATAGGGTAGATATTTATTTCTGCACAGCTGATACTGTGTTAATACTAGACATTCATTAGAACTCCATGAACAGGTCTCCTGCTCTCTGCTGGAGCTGGAAGTGTAATACGCAACAGCATATCAGACAGACAGCTTGGGGCATAGGAGAGAAACAGCCAGAAGAACTTTGCATCCCATCCAGCTCTGTATCGTATCCTGGGGTACTTTGCTATCAGGGCATGTTCCATGCATTTTATGACATTAGAAATATCATAGTCACACAGTCTTTTCACTGATGATCTTTGGGCTTTTATATCTGTAAACAAAAAAAATAATCCTGAAAGCATTTATATGCAACATCTCTGCAAGAGTGTTCTTTATATCCAAAGGTTTGGCTGCAGCTTCAGGCTTGCTTTAAATGACTGTCTCAAGTCCTAAGAGCAGTATAGCTACAGCAAAGCAGAGACAATATAGGCTGCGAAACCCACAAGCCCAATAAGCAAAAACCTCCCTGTCCCATACTGTCAGCCAGAAGTTCCATACAGTATGTTCTGTGTCACACTGCACTAACTTTTCAGATGCCAATAAGCAATAAACAAAGCATATGGCCATAGCAGCTCATTCCCACTGGGCATCCTACCTATGCGGGACAAGGAAAGGTAGCATGAGTTCATATCTCACTAGTCTCATGTGTGAACTAATATCTCAGGCCTCATCTAACATACACATAGTGAATAACAGTCAGTGATGGGTTCTTAATGAGCATTAATGATGTCTAGTAAATGTTCACAGAATCATATATAGGTTGAAGTTGAAGGAGACCTCTGGCACCAAGCCCCACTACTTAAGCTGAGTCACCTAGACCAGGCTGTACAGGACGTATCCAGATGGTTTTGAATATCTCCAAAGAGAGGGTTTCCACAACTGCCCTGGGCAACCTGTGCTGCTCCTCAGTCACCCTCGCACTGAAATGTTCAGCTGGAACGTCCTGTGTTTCAGTGTGCGCCCTTTGCCTTGAGTTCTGTTCCTGAACAACACTAAAAAGGGCTTGTCTCTGTTGTCTTACAGCTTCAGTTCAGGTATTTATATATGTTGATAATATCCCCTATGAGCTTTCATACAATCCTTTTTCTACTTACATTCAACTAAGTATTCTTCTCCATAGGAGTCCCTGATCTCAGGCGTCAGTCTGTTCCAAAGTCTGAGGAGGTATTTCTCAATGGCATCTGAATTAACATCTTCTGCCTTAAAGAAACCATGCTCAACAATGCTTACTTTCACTCCAAAATGCCACATTTCTATCCTAGAAGGAAAAAAACCCCAGTAATCTCCCTGACCACTCAATAATGGCACAACTATGAATCATAAGTAAGTTGCAAATCTGTCACATGAATATTTGAGAATTTGATTATCTTCCTGTATCAGAATTATTTTGAAAGGTTCAAATTTGATTCATAGCAGTGTATTTGTTCTGTAAACAGAACAGACAACTGAGGAAAAAAAAGCAGTGTCAAGTAGATTCACAATTCTCTGTGTGGTTTATGTTGGACTCTTGCAAAGGGTGTAACAGCCAGGTGCATCTTAGTCATGTATTAACATACTAAAACTTTTGACAATTTAATATATAGTTGCATCCTTTTAGTTCACAGCAACAGCAGATTATTTAGGTGTCTGAGAAAAAGTAAAAGTGAAAAAAGTTTTCAATTGGATTAGAACTTTATTTTCTATTCTATGGCTAAATGGCTATAGTTGAATTATTAAATGTTAATGCAATAAAGATTCCTCATAGTATAGTTCCCTCTATGTAATTTCAAGTTGCAGTGCAACTCCTTTGGAGTGAAAATGACATCTTTGTCTTGCTGGGCAGCTCAAGAGACCCAGACAGTGATGTTCTACAGTGTATAAAGGAATGGAACACATGTAACATTAGCCATTAGTTTCTATTTCTTTGGGGTATATGCTTTTTTAAAGTAAGTACTCATAATGGTTTGAGACCAGCTTTCCTAGTCATTCTGACTCATGAAGACTTGATTCACTGGGCTCGGCCTTAGCTTTCTAGAAGCAGTGCAGTACAACTGTTTCAGCAAAGGGTGTTCAACCTAAATTTCTGAAGTTACAATTACCTTTGGTAGTGTGGTTGCTGTCTGGAATTGCCCAGCTCAGATTGTTTTGGAGAATGAGAGCAAAATATACAGGCAAGTATAACTTTCCCGAGAAACTTGATGTCTGACCAGGATATATTTTTTATTTACTTTCAGGTATGCACTGGATTTACACGCCTGAAATCTGCACACTAACAACTTGTCTGGGACATGAAAATCTTCCAAGTGTAATTTCTTTCTGGGTCTGTCCATAGTACTGGAGACTGAAATCTTAAAAAAGTGACCAGTCCTCTTATTTTCCCTTTCCCCTTTAGGCAAGATTTCCAGAGAGGAATAAAAATGGGAAAACATACAGTCACCCTTCCTCAGCATGTCTGGAATCTGTTCTTGGATTCATGCATGCATGGCTACTCACCGTAAGGTGTCAGAGAAAGCTTCCATTCCCCATTTGGACAGACTGTAGCCACCCCCTACAAAAGCCATAAGACCTTTGGCATTAATTAGATTGACAACTCTTCCCTCAGCTTTTTTCAGAAGTGGCAGAAGCTTGAGTGTGATTTCAATCAATCCCAGCAGGCTAACATCCAGGACAGAATGGAAGTCTTCAATCCTCAGCCAGTCAGTGGGTCCTACAGGTGCTGTTCCTTCAGGATTGCTCACCAAGCCAAAAAGCCCTAGGAGAAATGCAAAGCTATTTATTTCAGTATATGGCAATATCTTACGCTGGAATATCATGTGTGCACACAGTCTGCAAAAGCTTCAGTGAGATGAATACAGTTACCTGGGGTTTGCTTGGATGGTCTACTTTGTACACGTTAGAATTTGCTGAAGAGCATGGGTAAAGTGTTAAAGGAAAACTGTTTTGTTTGGAGATGTGGGCCACCATGCTGGGCTTTATTATCGAGATCCACTGAGGTATGTAGGCTCCTAATATGCATTTGTATTCTTGTGAAAATCAAATAGTCTGCATAAAAGTGGAAAGACTGATTTTCTGGTTTGTGGTCTAAAGGTCTGAACCAAATGTGTAGAATTAGTCAATGCTTCTAAAGATACTAGTTTAGCCCTGTGTATTGATAATACTGCTTTACTACCTTTAGAAATTACTCGAGGAACTTTAGATAAATAGTGACGTTTCCAAGAGTTTGCTGATGACAGCCTGTGCCTGAGGGGAGAGGCTGAAAGTCCAGCACTCAGCCTCCATAAACAGTCGTACACACTGAGGTGAAAGCCTTAGTAGTGGCTGTCCTGGCTGAGAATGTGTAGCTTTCTACAAGTTGGAAGCAAGAGCCTGCTGGAGGGGGTAAGTGCTGATACTTTTGTTAAACTTGCTCTCAATCTCTGCATTCAAGAATGGTCTGGAATACTCATGATAAGGCCAAAAGCCTTTTACAAGTTTTGAGGAAAAAATCTTTGGGTAGAAGACACATGTTTTACTGTTTTAGGTACTTAACTTATTAATAAGCCTATTGAATAGTTGGTATAACTGTGTGTTACAACTGGTACTTAAAGTGCTGTGATGCCCTTTGGTAACCTTTTAGTCCGAGCTATCAATGCTGATAAATGTGTATTGCCACAGTTGAATATATTTACCATGCAGATCTTTTTAGCCTTTGCCAAACCCATCACTGAAGTCTCATAGGTAACCAAGGCTAAGCTCTTCCTCTATTACAGGAGTGTTCAGAGGTGTATGATAGGGATAGTGAGAGTTACCTCTGTAACAGCTCCAACAAAACTGGCTGAAATTGCAAGTGTTTAACTGTTGCAGTCAGTGCAATTGTTGAGCACAATGCAAATGTCAGACTTATCCAGGCATGCAAAAATATACTCTTCTCTTTACTAGAGGAGGACTGCAGAGGCCCTGAATTAACCATTTTTAGTTGAGTAAGCTGAATTTGTCAAGAAAATTTTCTGCTACCAGTTAGTACCTTCCTTCCACTGACATTCTTCAACTACACCAGGAGTTTAAATAACACACCTGGGAGCAAACTGGTTTTAACAGACCAAGGAAGTAGATTTTTAGGTATCCTGTTGGTGAAAGCAATGGGCAGCATTGCTGGAGAGAGTATCTTTGAACTGAGAGAAATGACAGAACTGAGGAGTGAATGTGTTTCATCAGTGAGATTAAAAATGCCTCTGCAGTGAGTGGAGAGGCAACAGAACTTTCAGCTAGACCATATTTGGTTATATTGAATCATCTTTCTGAGATGTTGCGTTGTCACTTACCCTTGCCAGCTGTCTGTTCAGTCACAAACACCACAGCCCTGGCAATGCTGTTGGAGTCTGCCAAGTTTAGATTCACTGTCTTCAATGAGAATGAAGAGCAGCACCGTAGCTCTTGGCTTCCTTTTTCTGTGGCACATGCAGCAATGACACAAAATCCCTTTTTGTCAAGCCATTTAGCCAGTGAGTTTCCAAGTCCAGTGTCACAGCCTGTTATGAAGACATGCTCTCCATTCAGGTTTCTCACTCTGGATCTGTCCCTGATGATCCAGTAAATGATAAGAGAAAGTATGGAAGCCAAAACTGCTATGTGCAGTGAGTCTGAAAGTGAGAGCTACAAGAAAATAAGTTAATGATGTAGAAGTGTAATGAAGCAAATGGGCTCAGCTATTCACTGAGACAACACCTCTAAGGGGCTTTGTTTCTGGTTGCAACCCTTGCAGACCACTCTGTGTTAGAGGAGAGCAGGAATAGGAACTTTGGCACAATGTGACCGGGAACCATGAATAATGTGCACCTTGACAAAACCTTCTGTATTTTTCTTTTCAATATATTTTCCCTGCTTTCAAGCTTTGCTGACCAAACTTTCTAGTCAACTCTGTCCTTTAAAGTCATTTCAGACTGAAAGGAATGACCTTGCCTGTTCTGAAAGGTTTTTTGGTGGACATTGGTCATTATTTTTGCTGATACCAGAGAGAGGAATTCCCCTGGGGAAAAGGATGATCTTCTTTGACCACTTGTATGACGCTACCCAGATTGCTTTTCTTATCTGTAACACAGAAGCAGAGTGACCCCAAGAACAACCCAAGAGAAGTGTAAGCTGCAGTGGTGGAGCTGATGACTAATTTGTTATGTGATTTGCGTTGTGTGACAGTGAGTGATTTGCTCTCTGCCCCTTAGACAAGGTAGTCTTTGGGGCAGTGCCTGAATCTTCTGTCACTTGTTGCCTGTTTAGCAGCAATACAAAGCACAGCAGAACATACTATATAGGAAGTGTGTTTGTATAAAGAAATGTGGAAATGCATGGAGATGTTGCCTAAAAAAAAAAGGCCACTAAGGAAACTCAAGGTTTCCTAACCTTGGTAATCTGATTACTAGTTTTCTATTTGTATTTTGGTTTTTTCAAGAACTAAACCAAATTAATTAATTAAAGCAAATATTTATAGGACATCCAATAAGCATATTCCAGACATCCTGTTAAGAGAAACTTTTTTACAGGTTCTAAGCAGTCACCTAGGTTCTAGTTACCTACATATGTGTAATGTGCAGACATCTCACCTTTAAAATATGACATTCTTAAAGGCTGTCTTCTGTGTAACATTATTTCTATCTCAAGACATGAATGTTAAAGAAAGCTCAATGTATTAGGCCTGTTTGCTAGAGCCTATCTGTTGTTCTTGTTCCTATTGAGCTCATGAACTGATTTGCATTTATTCTGATCCTAAATTTTGCTGTCACATCACCAAGTAGGTATGGAAGGAATCTCAGAATCTGATAGTGAATGGATGTTGAACTCTCATTAAATAATTAAATCAGTTTCAAAGCTAATAAAGTATAACAAATGGCAACATTCATTACCACTTAATGATATTTGAGTCCCTCAGTATCCATCAATATGAACTTCTGAGGTATTGACTAATGATCTCTGATTTTAAATCATTAAGCAATTATATGCAAGTAAAAGTTTTCTTCTCCTTCTACTGCAGTTTACAGAAGGGCTTTCAGTGAATTTTTGGGATGTTTGCACTGTTTATTTTAGTGGCTCATCTCACTGTTGTTTTGAGGTTGATGTAATCAGCCCTTTAGCTCAGGTACTTTGATTAGACACTTGGCTTTCTTGCTGTGAATGTCCCTGTTAAATTTGACATGGATTGCAGTGTTCCTGAATGTGTGCACTTTGAAATAATCTTTGTCATTTTTCCCTGTGTTGGTGACATTTATTTTCTGAGGATTCAGAGAGTGCTCTGACAAAGTGCCACTACAACTATGTGAAAGCACTCAGGCTAATGAAGGCTTTTGTAATGTAAAATAAAGTCTGAAAACAGAATGTTGCAGCAGCTGATGCACATGGATCCCCCAGTGCAGTGATGTTCCAGGCAATGACATTTCCTTTGCCCATTTAGAATTTGGAGAAGTTCTAGATACAAAAAGAGAGGAGCTGCTGTCAGCAGACTCTGGTATCCCCGTGCCACTAAATCACAGTAAGGTATTTGGCAAGCTTTAGGACTCCAGTTTCCTTTCTTTCAAAATGAAGCAAAAGAATTCAAGTTGTGCACAAACAATTAACTTAATTAATTGAAAACAGGACTTGTGAATCACATTTTTCTTTCTTGGCTGTGCTGTAGGGAAGAAGCAGTTGGCAGTGAGCTTGCACTACTGGAAAGCAAGTTAAATTTGAAACTGGGTTCTGTTGATAAGTCCTGCAGTGTTTGACCAGGATGCCAACCTGGTTTCAGTAAGGTAAACGCCTGGAATTGCTCTGGTTAGTGTTAGCCACTCTCTTTATGTAGCAATAACTGGCACAGAATCTCTGTAAGACAAAAGACTCTAGGGGAGACAGCTGAAAGGGCAGCACTGTGGAGTCTCCACTGCTCTTCTTTTTCCTGACAGCCCTGGGCCAGTGTTGCTAAGTCTGTATTTCCTAACTGCCTAGTTCTTGCCACATACTAGCACTCCTTCTCCAGTAACACAGTGACCTGAGCATCCTGGTAGGTTTTGCTCTGCTGGAGCCTTCTGCCATTATGTATTCTGCTAGGTGATGTCATTATTGGAAGGAGCCTGGGGTCAGAACCAAGAGAAGAAGTCTAGTTTTCTTAAAAGAAAATCCTCTAATTCTGTGACTGTACAATGTAATCCAAAATATCTCTTGTTTGATAACTGTGAAGTTCTACAAAAGCCAAAAAAACCCACTTGACTTCCCAAGATCATATTGATTTTGAAACAGCTGCATGGAGTGGCAAACGGTGCATTTCCAGAGAAAATGTCAGCATGATATTTCAAGAGTATTGATCTGTCTTCATAAATATTGCATTTGGATTAATAATGTAGCCAGTAAAATACTAAAGGCAAATTCTATTTTCCATCAAACTTTGATATTTGCCTGGCAAATTGAGAACTTGTGTGAAAGTGCTTGGCTTCTTGTGCCTACACGTGTGCCATTATAAAAGCAATTGATTTTAGAGAAGAGCAGCATGACTGCCTTGAGAGCCCTCTAAGATCCCTAGATGACTGCAAAGTACAGCATCCCTCTGCTGCTCTGCACTAAAGGAAACTGAAGAGGGAGAGTGTTAATTTACCCCCACAGGAAGTTTGCTTATAACAAAGAATTTCAGGCTGGGGTGAAGAGTGGGGCCTGTGTGCACTTTGGATTCCTTCACCCCTCACTGTGCAGGCAGTGCAAAACTCCAGAAGTCGGTGTTCTGCAATGGGTAGAATGACCTGCCAGGCAATCTGAGGAAGAGCTGCCAATGGGAAATTTAAGTACTGTGGTTCTTCAGAATGAGCACTTATACAGAACACAGTGGAAGGTTTCTATATATCAGGCAGCCCACTGAAAGATCATCCATCAACTCTCCAGAATCACTCTTCCATAGCTACAAACCTCTAGTTTTCAGTTATTAATTGAACAAACTGGCAGGCACGAAACATCAGATCTCTTAGGTGAGCTATTCCTGCACATGCAGAGCTTTGCACTTCCATTTCACAGAAAAGCAGTGCTTTTTGGTAAGCTGTGTAAATATGTGATAATTTGGTTTGGTGGTCAACAAATAATTTAGGATCTTTATTAATATGTTACCTGAAAAGAAATACACCTCCAAACTGTCCTACACAGCATTTTGTAGGGAAATGAATGTAGTCTATTGCAGTGAGTTTTCAGCTGATGAAAACTCTGTGATAGTATCTTTTTTGTATGGCTTGCACTTCACATTTTTACCACAGCATCATAAAAGCCCTAGGAAAACAAAACCATTTAAAATCTTAGGTCATCAACCTACTATTTGACAATTGAAGTAGGGAAAGATTCCACATATTGGGAAGAGCGTTTCTGAGCATTTTATTCAGACCCTGTAGGTACTAAGATAAGCAACAATTGTTAAAATTACTTTAGAAAGGAAGGGATTGCATATTCTCTTGTCTGTGCACTACAAAACAAATGTTTAGCTCTCTTTGATATCCTGCAAATGCATGTAATAGGTACGGCTTACTATAACAGTAGATGTAAATTCTACTCACATTCTGGGAAGACATCTGCAAGCTCAGTCTATACCTCCATGTGCTCATGAGTTGCCTTCACCAGTTATTTCCAGTGTCAGAATGTAGAAACAGCCCAATTTGCTCATAAACTTGTGCACCAAGACCTTAAAAAAAAAAAAACCTCATAAATTCTGTCTGGTGGTACTTTCCTAATCAGCACATCAACAGGGCCCCTCCCTCTGCTCTTGCTAATGACTTGTACTGTGATCTGTCTATTTTAGGGATGTACTTGGTATTAATCTTCTGGCCATGCTCTATGCCTGCCTCACTTACCTATGTTGTATAAGCATTGCTGGCTATATATAGTGATTTAAAGAACCCGGGGGACTGTCAAGGCTCATTAAGGAGAACTAATCTACTGAGCTGAAAGGACTGATCTGTGCTTTGTGGTGAAATCAGCAGGAGTCCTTCTGTTGATTTAATAGAGCTTGCTTCAGACCTCCTGCTTTTGCATGTGAATGATATTATTGTTGATGTGACTTAATCTCTTAAAATACTTCTTTATGTATGAAAACTGTAACGGATTAAATTATATTTACTCGTCTAGGGGCAGTTTTTTGATACTAGGAACAAACCAATTTCAACATTTCTCAAATAAATGCTCAGATAGTACAAACAGTCTCTACAGTTTGAATGAGCACAGATGGTAACACATGATTGCTGGGTGTCTTGTTTGCTTAATCTTTGGGCCGGAATCTGGTGGGCACTTCTGATCCAGCTCTGAGTACTACTGCATAAACATAGAAGCAGAATTTCTTTTCCCTTCACATACCTCTTCGCTCACAGTGCTCTGCGGTGCCAGGTGCTGCAGTCAGCGAGGAGGCTTGGGCAAAGACTATTCTCAACAGCAAATTGATGAATAAGCTTTCTTGTGAAAATTGATTTGAAACTTACTGAATGAGTAAGAAATTAAAACTGAGGAAACCAAGTAAAGTGGTAGGATGGAGCTGGAAATGATCTTGCCCATACATTTAAGTGGATGATGGTAATGGCAGACTGTCCCAGACTGCCTGGTGACAGTCTGAAAGAGCTGCAGAGTTCTTAGTTCATCCTCTACATGTTGGGCAGCTCTCCCCCCAGTTTCTCTCCCAGCTCCCTTTGGCTTGGGTCTAGAAATTCTTTCTTCTTTTGCCACTCGTGAGTGCCACAAGCTGCAGTATTGGTTGTACTTTCAGCACTCTTGGGGTAGTCAGGAGTTGCATGCATCTCGCTGGAGACATGGAGCTCAACAGATGGCTGGCAAAAATTTCCTCTCCAGGGCAAGCCCTGTCTGGCCTGATTCTAATGATAGGCTCTACAGGGTGGTTGGAATGACCACCGGCATGCAAAACCTGTTGCAGGGAAACACTGCTCAGTCAGTGTCAGATTAGGGATCCTGCTATTGTGGGTAGCAATCCTTTGCCATGCAATGGTAGAAGAGAAAAGCATAAAAGGAGTTTCTCTCTTTTCTTGCTTTTTGGTTTTTTGGTTTTTTTTCCTCAGTAAACTACTTTTCATCTGCAGAAAGTAATTTCAGAAAGCTGAAATGCTTAGCATCTTAGAAGATATTAAAATGGGTGATTTTCCCAATAAGTTCCCTTCGTCACAGAGTTTCCTCCAACTTTCTCAGAACACAGCATGTGGGGGACCTTACTGGAAAAGAAATCACGTAAGGAAAATCTGAACTCTGTTCATAGTTTTCTGTTAGCTTGACATGAGACAGGCTTTTTTCTGCAGAAAGCAGACCTTGATTGATTTCCTATTGATTCCTTAGGTGTATTTTGTAATGAAATCTCTGACTCTTAGAAAGGAAAAGTTGCCATTCTTGAACCATAACACTGGAGAAGGAAATTTTATTCTCCAGGGAAAATCAAGAAGCTAGAGTTATTCCTGTTGGACAAGTAAAGGTGTTGAAGCACACACTGTGCTGACTCTAACAAGTAAACAAATCCAGGTTCTTTGGATGCAGTCCCCCAGGACGTTCTTACCTTGTGGACCTTATGGATCTTCCCCCATGAGATGTCCCTTCTAGTCCTTAAAAACATATGTCTAAATATGTCTTCACCTGCCTCATACAGCCTTGTGAATAGGTCAGATTTTGCTGCTCATAGCACAGCATACCATGCTTTGCTTCTTTCCAGAAGTCACTGGCTTCTTTTGCTAGCATTTGAGGAAATGAGACGTCTGGTCCCAGGAGAGTAAATGTCAGCACAATCTGGTTCTTACAGTGAGAAAGAATACATTAGGCAAGTAATATTTTTCCTTCATTTATAATTTAAATAATGTATTTACAGCTAGTGTGCCCTGTCTCCAATCCTGTTTATATTTTCTTACAAATGTTAACATTTGTAGTGATAGTGTCTCACAGCATCTGATGGTATACTTCTGGTCTGACAGGGACTGAATTCAATCAACCAAACTTTAATTCCTAAAGATAAAGATCAGAGTAGATGGTGTCATTTCACAATTTCTTTGTTTCCCTAATCAATCCTTTTAACTGAGTAATCTTGGTGTAGAAAAGATAAAAAGCTTTAGCTTCTAAAAAGCCTCTGTGTGAAACAAGAAAGTCCAAGGATCAAAAGACAAACAGCCCCTGCTCCAACAGGCTTGGCAAGTGTCTGTTTGACAGGTCCTGAATAGTTGGTCCATCACTGGGGCTAGCAGAAGAAAGGGACTTGATTTTTGTTTGATTTCTAAATAAATGAGCAAACAATAATGACAGAAAAAACACATTGAGCACATTGACTACATCAGCAGATAAAAGTTTTTCTGTTTGGAAGTTCACTCAAAACTACATATCAACATGAATAATTAATCTTTAACTGAAATTTGAATAAATCTTTATAGGCCAAATATGTGTGGATAGTCATATTGTGGTGCAGATGCATTTAATATTAGCTTTTCATATGACAGTATTTCCAAAAAGTCAGAATTATGAGGAGATATAATGTGACTTTGCAAGGCTTTCTCAGTGAGATAGGTATTGCTTTTTTTGACAAAAATGTCTGGAAAGTGCCTCACCTTTTTGAAAGTACTCCTTTCCATATTGCATTTTAATATCATGGAGAAGCTTACTTCAAATAATTTATTTCTCTTTTGTAATCTTTGCTGGATTACATAATGCTGTTTTGAACGGTCTGGGTTGAACACAACAAACCTTTACTCCAAAAGCTTTCATATCTTTCCTGAAGGCAGCCCTATGATTTCATTGCTTTAGACAATATTTATACTGTTGGACTTTTTGCTATACTAATACTTCTGTCTTTATATAGCACTCAGCTCACAAATACTGCAAGGTTCATTCATGATTCATTTGAATTTTCAGCTTGTTATCCATAAATGAAAGAGGGGTGAGCTATCTTACCTGCTTCCCAGAGTGAGAATGTGCATGTACAGTAGCTGACAGTGTAATTCACATCCTAGTTCTCAATGCAGTAGGTCATTAGTTATCTGACTTTTCTGAAAGGCTGGCTGGCTGCCTAAATGCAAGTATGTAGAACCAATTTACATCTCTTAGGAAATCCCTTCTTTAGGGAGGACTTCTGGCTGGTGGTAGGGTTTCTTCTGGCCCATCTGGTATCTATCAGTCCTGTGTAAATGTTCTGGTGTCTAAAATGGCACTATATGTTTTTAGACACAGATGACTGCAGACAGACCAGACCTTTAGATTTTGCAATGTAAAGATCTACATGTATTTTTTAATAGAGGCCACAAAAAAACCAAACCAAAACAAAACAAAAAAAAAAACCCACAAAACCAAAACCAAAAAACCAAAGTACTCATCAAGAGTGTGCCTGTGAACTCTGCTAAAGTACCTTGAAAACCAAAAGCATTGCATTGCCTGTGGCCATGTTGCTCCTGAAGAAGCTGTCAGTGGGGATTGAAATAAAGCAGAGTTCTGCTCATCATATAATTTTTCTTCCAGCTTTCCACTACCATGAAGGAAACTGTCCCTGTATTGCAAGTAACTATTTTACTCTGGTTCTGTGCTGTGGTGCACTAGATTATTATCACTGTGATGTTATCTCCAATAGTGTTATTCTCAAATTTGTGCTATGTACAGTGGTATAGCTGGAGACTTCTTTTTATAAAATAGTTGGAGGAGACACTGGGTTTGCACTTAGTTGTGCAGTTGTTGTAAACACAGTAATGATGCTAACCAAGGAAAATTTTATTTCTGCTTACCTATGTTTAATTGCGACACACTTTTGGGCATGAGGCTTTATTGCAGGGAGTGAGAGAGCACAGAAGACTTTAAGAGAACTGACAATCACTGTGATTGAGACATAGTCTTTCTATCTTGTCCTGTCAGTCAGGGCCCTCTGTAGTGAGAACTGATTTCAGAGAGGAGCTAAACCCTGTTTGCCATTTCCCTCTAAGCTATGTGGTGATATTGTCTGAGGTCATAGCACTGTCTGTCCTCATCAGTGTCCCTTACTGAAAAATCCATGGAGGAGCTGTATCCAATGAGAATTCACTACTACTCAGGAACTTCCAGGCTGTAAAATCTTCATTTCAAAGGAAAAACTGGAAAAAGCTAGAAGCCATGTGGAGATGGGCAATCTTAGCTAGAAAACCAAGCTTTTGAGCAGGTTTTTTAATTTGAATTCAGCTTAATCTCTGAACCAATTATCATGTTATTCAGCTGATGTTGCAATGTACAGTGGGGACAAGAGCATACACAATTATTGTCTGGCAAATAAAGTTGCTGATAAAATTATGCTATAATAATTCTTCCTGTGCATTCAACTGTGAATTGTTTTCCAAAGAACTGTCTGGTCTCCTCATGTATAATTGTTTTCCAAGTGCACTAACTTTGTTTTGAGATTGCATTAGTCAAATTTAAACCCTCCATTAGATGTCAATGAACTGAAAACATTGTGACCGCATGGTTATTGACCCAGGTGCAAATAATCAGTGCCCAATTAAAAGATTCAGTTCTGACAAATGGGTTAAAATAATGAAAATATGCTGGAAAATGCTTGACTGCTTCACTGACTAATTGAACAGAGTCCTTGTAATTTGTTTATGACCCTATGATTTTTCACAGCCACAGGTGAGTAACAAACTTGTCCTGTTTATTATTTCAGAGTTAACTGATGACACTTCCTGAGTTGAAAGGTATTTGTATTTTTTCCCTTTGGGACAATTTAACCTAAATGCTGCATTTCCTGTGCACAGTTAGTGCTGGTGGTTTTTTGTTTTGTGGGGTTTTTTTGTTGTTTTTTTTTTTTGGTTTTTTTTTTTTCATTTAAATTTTTTTTTATGTGACTGTTTGAAGAATAAGACATTTAAGTTCTTTTTTGAAGCAATATATGTCTTTCTGCATAAATGTTATCACCAATAAGTGAGGAACCTAACTTCAGAGCAACATGAAGGATAGTGCTTTCAGGTCCAATTTTAATTGGTTTTTTTTTTCTCCACCCCTCCACTCCCATTTATGTTAAATAAAGATCTGATCTGAATAAAGAGGTGATTTGAAATAAATTTCAAAGGGCTTTGGATCAGGTTCTAATGTTACTCCATTTACAGGATGTGTTCCTTTGTTAGCATTTTCCAATATTACTTATTTGAATCTGGATTTTGAGTTCCTCAAAGATTTTTTTTTCTCAAAAATCCAGCAACTGCACTGTAACTGGCTAGAATAAGATGCTATTTCATTTGTGTGCAGTTTGAGTTATTCTCTGCTACTAGGTTGTATTCTGCACACACATGGGTAGATATATTGCTTTCTATTTTCTCTGATTTCTATTATCTTGATTTTAAATTGCAACAGTATTTTTCAAAATGTTCTAAGTGATCCCCATTAAACATTCAGACGCTGAGGAAGATTATTTTAATAATCAAGTGCAACATGTTCATCTGCTATACAGATTACTAATCTGTTTAAGTGAGCTAATGAATGATGCCTATGGAACAGGACAGTAGTTGATGTGTTGAACTTTAGAAAAAATAGGAAAAATGTTTCAGAAATGTGGGACACTTGAGTCAGTCAATCATTGGGGTTTTCCACTTTCTTGTTACTTAAAACTATATCAGCATTCAGGCTTAAAAAAAATTAAAATTATAAATTACAAAATTGATAAATCTTTGTTAAAATGAAATAAGGACTGCTGTACTATGCTATCTAAATGCTTAATATGCTTAAAATGAGAGGTTGTGAGCGTTTTATACAGATGTATAATCATGTAAGTGTTGATACTTAAAGACTGGAAGAAGGTACACTAACTGTGACTTGGGATACATTACATTAAACAAATATGTAGATGAGATAATATTGGTTGTGAAAGGGCAATTTTGGGGATGACTTCTGCAGCATTTCCCCCTAGGTGCATCTTGGATGCTAGGCTTTCCTGACAGATTTTTCCTCACAAAAGCACTTCTTTAACAAAAAGGTGTTAACTTCTTATTTCTTTTCATGTATGATAGCTGCTCAGCATGTCAGTGTGATTACAGGAATAAAACTGCCCAGAGGAGCAGCTCTGGTAGCCAAGAGCCGTGGGAGTGCAGCTGGTGGTGATGATGCAGATGTCAATGTGGCCCTGGAGCTTCCACCATTTTCCCTTCTTGAGCCCCAGTTGCCCCCTGTCATGGTTCTCCCAGCTTTTGTCAGTTGGGACAGCACAAGGCAGGGGCAGGTCCTGCTGCTCCCTTGCAACCGAGGCAGGATCTGTCCTGGTATGGTCTCAGCCTCTAAGCTACCCTCCCAGATGCCACCCTCCCAGATGCCACCCTCACAGGGTCAGTAGTTCACTCCAGCAGAGCCATCCCTGGGGACAGGGCTGTTTGCCAGGATCTGCTAAGCCCCGCAAGGCGGCCTCTGCTCGAGGCAGGAGTCACCGAAGCCTCAGAGGCCTGTCAGGGGTGGGTTGGGCACTCTCCAAGGTGTTTTTCTACTCTGTGGTTTCACTGAATCTGTGACATCTGTCCTGTTACAACTTGTGCTGTAATCACTGGTGCTGTCCTGGGGTCATGAGGGCAAAGGGGGAGTTTAACGTGATGTTGTTTTATGTTCATGGACAAATGTAAGCTGATATTCTTCTCCCCATCCCCACACCCTATCTCTTTTCAGGACTTTTGATTGAAGTAAACAATCATGTCTGACCCAGTAGTTCTGCGCAGCATCAAGAGACTGGGAGAGGATAATTATGCTTTTGACTCGGATGGGAAACGTAAGAAGTTTATTCTTCAGTCACCTCCTTATGTTATAAAGCATGTAAAATAGGTGGTGGGTGGCCTTAAGCGAAGGATGTAGTCTACAGAATGAATACAAGCAAGTAGTCTCTGGGATAAATAGTGTTATATGGTACCTGCTGTCATATGCTGCCCCCAAAACTTTTCTGTAAAAAATATAATAATCCCTACTCATGGACTATTTTTCATGAGTCAACTGACAAGTTCAAGGTATGTACATAGGTTTTTACACTCAGTACATCATTGTACAAGTAAAAGGGTTCTAGTGAAGAAAAAAAAGTAAAAAGTAAAAAGTGCTTTCTCACACAGTTTAGTCCAGCAAACACTCATATTTGTAGTCATACATATATTCGGCAGAATTCTTGAGAGCTAATTCTAAGATCTTAGCTAAAGCTAAGATCTGCATTCCTTCTATCAGAGCTTTTTTCCATTTTTCCTTTGCAATATGCATTTTTCCATTTTGTCAGTCCAAATGCAGAAAGAGTCAAGGAGAAACATGAAGAGAATGAAGAGAAGCTGCTAAATATTTTGAGTTCTCTTTGTAAGACCTGAGAAAAGCAAAAAAAAAAAAAAAAAAAATAGAGGATGTTAAATATTTATACAGATCGTAAAGCATAAAGGAAAGCAAAAGAGTAGTCTGTAATGGAAGCTAAATCGCAATACAGATTAATGGGATTTGGCCAACTTCTGGGACAGAAAACTGTTCATCTCTTCCGGACACTTACTTTGAACTAGACACTTACTTCGAACTCCCAGGCTGCTTAGACTTATCTTGCTGATTTGAGGAGTTGCTTTCTGTCTGCCTGTTTTGTTTTACACACTTGTTGCTTTTACTTGTTATGAGATTTTGGCAAAAGGCCATCTACTGGCAAAAGACTATTCTTCTTTTGACAATTGGGTTATTCTTTTGGGCTATCAAGTGAGGTTGCCTCTGATTTCTTGGTTTCCTTGGAAATACACCCTGTTTTCTGCTTAATGTAAGGAGAAGGTTGTTCAACTGCTAGAACACCATTCCCAAAGCAGATAAAGCTTCAAAACCCCACTGGGATTCTGCTGATTGATTTCATCTCCAGTGAGGCTTGCTTCAATATTCACCTTTTGTACAAATTTCTTAGGATTAGCCCTCTCTGGATCAACCCTTGAACACCACACATATAAGTGTAGTTAAGAGACAGATTTATTTGGGAACTTTTTGAGTACAATTTCTCATCACTTTACTCTCACAGAACTTCTTCCTTGTGTGTTCTCACTTTAACAGTAAACACTCAAATTCTTGCTGGTGTTTTTCAGCTTTTCATTGAGTCTCTGCTGTTTTTTTGGTTTTGTTTTTCCAAATTGTAAATTTTTTTTCTTAAATGCCTTAATTTCTCTTTCAAAATTTTTTTGGGCATTCAAAGATAACTATGGCTTTTTTCCTTTTGGGTTAATAAATTCTTGTATCTTCCCTGCATTCTTTTCTATTAACATCATGGTCTATCCTCTTTTTCTACTTTTTCAGTACTCAGTGTGAACTATTATTCATCTATTTTTTCTTTCAAAGTAATATAATTCCAAATTCTTTTCTTATAAATTCTTTGCCTAAAAACTGCTGGCCCACAGAAGCTGGCCTGCAATTTCTTCCACTATTGAATAGCATTGATAAGCTCTTGTTTCCCTCTTCAAATTCATAGATTAGGGATTTTTCACATTTGGAGAGTGCTTGTTTTGCTCTCTAAATTAATGACTCAGAGAGCTTTTACACTTGGCTCTCTTGTTTCTCCCGTTTTCCTTCCACTAGCCATTTCCTTTATTTCTTGCAAAATATTTTGCAATACCAGCCTACAGAAGGAGCTTTCTCTAAACCTTGACTTTTCTGATAAACCTTAAAGAATCCTCCAGAAATTATTTCAAACCACTACTGTTGTTACCTGCTGCCAAACTTCAAGTAACCAGATATATTCTTTCTTCACAAAAGAAAGGTTTTCTCACACCAAATGATCCTTTGTAATAATAGTTTTACAAATTAGAACTTTCCTGGAAAATGTCTGGGATTCTTGGGATATGTGTGCCCTTACTGAAATAATATTTTTTTTGCCATCTCAAAGTAACAGAGAGCAAAATACAACCAGTAGAGTAATTGTTAACTAAAGCCAAATAAAGTTATCTTATTAACCCTAAAAAGGAGATGCATCAGCTGCTCCCTCAGTCCTAAAGTCAGACTGTCTCCATCTAACATTGTAATGGAGGTAATGGAAAAGTCTTCTTCCCCTGGGTAGAAAAATTATAGAGGCAAAATTTGTGGTTGCAGTGACTTCTTTGTACCCTCTGGGAATTGTGATGCAAACTTCCTCTGTGACTGCTCTGTGAAACAGCCCTGTGCATGCTCAGTGATGAGTCTCTGGATGTGGAGAAAGGAAGACAGTGCTTGAAATGCAAACTGCAGTTCTGAACTTAATGTTGAACTGGCAAATGCGTTGTAATTGAGCAAAGTGCATATGCTCAGTGCCCTTAGGTTATCCAAATTGTGATGTAAAAATAAAAATAAAAAATAAGTACAAAAAATATAAATAAATAAATGTTTTAAAAATGTTAAAAAAACCCCACTAATTCTTTATTCATTGTCATCTTAAGTGATGTACAACAAATATTTTCTACATCAGACCTTTAGATGACCCTTCTTTGGGCCCCTGATTACACAAGCTGTGCTTTATTATGTCTTTCACAACATCTTTTGAAAGGGGGCTAAATCCTGACCTTTTCTGAGGACTAAGGAATTGTCCTACAGCTTGATCATATCTTGTAGTATGATTCAATTTCTCTAAGCTATGGTTCCTTAGACTATGTCTCAAGAGCAGCCATCAGTGTGGAAAGTTAATCCTACCCTCCAAGACCACAACTGCTCATCTTCCACAGGATTTGCAGTGTCTAAGTTGTGAAGACAAGAGTGAAGAGCTACCACTCCTTTCAGGGAGCATGCATGGAGTGAGTATTAGCTTAGTATCCTTGAGGAGGCAGTGTCCAAGATGACTTGTTGAATATTAGCAAAGAGTTGGCAATGAAAATTACTTTTGGCAAATGTCCTGAATAATGTTCTTAGTTTAAACCACATCCTGGCTTATGTATTAGTGGGAATAAGATTTTTATAACTCAGGAATAATCAGGTCCCATGGAGTTCTAGAGCTTATGTTTCACTTGTCTATAGAAGGTTATGTACTTTAACAATAATCATTAACTATACTGTGCATTTATTTTCCCTCACAGGTAACAGCTTCAAGAAATCAGAGTAAGTCATGTACATGATTGGAACAATCAATATTTCTATGAATATTCAAGGAAGTTAATTTTATTGGACCAAGTTGATTGAATATTTGTTTTTTTTAAAAAAACTGTTCTCTAGTGATTGACCTCCCTTATTTGATACAACTGAAACAGGTAGACCAAAGCAGTCCTAGAAATTTTAAAAACATAAATGCCAGCAATCTGATCTTCTTTCTGTGTTTTTAGTTTGAGAAATCACTTTTTCAGGAATTTTAATCAGACTTGATTAATTTCTCTTAAACTTAACTGTGAGATTTTAAAACAAAAGGAATTATCTCAGATACTAAGATTTAAGTGTAGAATTCTGGATAGTTAAAATTTGGGATTATTTAGAGAATTTGGCCTTCAGCTATTATTAGAGGTCTGATTGGAATTAAGAGCCTCCTTCCCAGACTTTTGGACAATGTTGTAGCAGGCTGGACAATAACAGTACTATCATTTGAGCCAACTCTTTCTGACACAGTTACCCAGTCTTGGAGCTACCTCTAGAACAGGAAAACCAGAGTACCTCTTAATTTTTCCCATTGTCAGGTTGCTGATCTAAGAGAGCACCAGCCCACTATGAGAAGTCTACCACATCTCTCCACCTTGAAATGCAAGTTCTATTGGACTTTCACATGTAAAATGCATGTGATCTATACATACCTGAAGGAAAGGTTCCTTTAGGCTTTGGTTTCTGAAAATAGTTTATGACAAATACAGCTTGAATAGTTTGCTTCATTAAAAACCAAACCAAAACAACCCACAACAAACAGACTATCCCTACTCGTTCACCACTGAGTGTACAGAGCTGATGATGATTCCTTGCTATGGCAACAGGAACTTTCTCTGTCTTAAAGGAAGGATTAACCAACAATTTGGGCAGTAGATTTTTCTTTACCTGACCTCTAAGAACCCACAATCCACATTATAGGAACAGTGCACTGAGGAGCTGCTTATGGAACAAAGTATAAACCTTTAGAGAAGTTTAACCCACCCTCCATTCTAGTCTCTGTCTAAAGTTTCAAAGAACCATTAAATCACTGGTTTCAAAGAAATCTGAAAGAAACAGCTTGTCTCTGAAAATTCTGGGCAAAACGTCTCAAGTAAAATGTAATTTCAGAGAAGTAACCAAGAGAGTAAAATTAATAATGAAAAATTTTATCCTTTGTGCCAGAAATTTCTACGCATATGAAGAACCTTTTATAGAGAAGAAAAGTGAAATGTGAGTTAAGTTTAATTCTTTATACTTTGCATGTAAAACAAAATAAGTACTAAATTACAAGTTTATGATTTTATGTTTTCTGTTGTTGAAGGTCGTCAGAGAAGAAAGAAAACAGTGTTCGTGTTGGCTTCTTTCAGCTGGTAATGAAAGCAATGTCTGTAAATATTTAATGTGTATTGTGTTGCAGAATAAGTGACAATAACCAATAACATTGTTTTGGGGTATAGATGTGACTTGAACTTTTAAGGATTAAATCTTTTGGCCTGAAATCCTATCAATAAAATTCAGTGGGAATTCACTAGAACCCCTTGTTGTCTTGTCAGTTTAGTGTCAAAAATGTCTATGAAACACATTATATTTAAGCTACAGGTACATATATGGAAATTAGGTTAAGTTGCATAGCAGGGAGCTAGGTGACCTTGGTTCATTCTTATTTCTGCCAAAAATTTGCTGTGTGATATTTGGCAGATAATTTATCTCCCTCTTAATTGTTCCATGGGTTTTAGAAAATTTGGTTGCAGTGTTGCAGTGGCAACTTGTGGATGCACGATATTCAATGGTATGAGTTACATCTAGCCTTTGATGTAATTCCACTGGGTTCATATAAGTTTTAAAATAAATGTAGTCAAGAGGTATCCAACCCAGCAGCATGCAGCTAAGAGATCTCACTACTCCTGGTTTGCACACAGCCCTGTCAGTCTGTAATGTGTCCAAATGAGAATGGTCGTGGCTGTTGTAACAGGCTAGTGCAGCAACATCCCTTGCAATGATGTACCTGCCTAAGGGTCTCATTTCCTGGTAGGGTGGAGAGAACAGTCTGTTCCCACAGAGGGCAAGCAGAGAGTTTGAAATCTGTAGCTTCTTTTGCACAGATATTTAACTCCTGAAGTGCAGTTGGTAAATACAGTATGTTTGCTTCAGATGTGCTGAGAGATCAGATATCATATATTTGTGCATTTTCTGTTTGATTTTTTTTAATGAAGTGAACTCCTAGGCTTCTTATGAACAAGGTTTGTGAAACAGTGGTAGAGTTACAGTTTTCTTCTCTCTCTTTTTTTTTTTTTTTTTTGTTTTTTTTTTTTTTTTTTGTAGAAGGATGTTTTATTTATTTATCTTTTGTGTTAACTGGTTTCCCTTTATATTGTCTTTGCCCTAATGTCCCTTTCCATATATGCTGTCAATTCCCACCCTTTCTTCTCTAGGACACATTATAGCACCTACAGAACCTGGACTGGTTCTTCAGCAGGCTATGATTCCTCTTGACACTCCTATTTTAAAATGTATAGCATTTGATACTGATATTCTCTATGGACAATTTAATCTATATATTTGCACCTGACTTCACCCTGAGAATCAGATTTCATACAATCATGACAAAGGCAACTTAAATCACTGTATCTTTGCCGAGCTACGTGTGTGCAAACACTTTTCTACACATTTCTCTCTCATTAAGAGCCAATCCACAACTGTGTGGCTCAGCCAAAGCATTTTAGAATTTTAGCTATGAAAACTTGCTCTGAGATGTTTGGCTTCCTACCGCAGCACTGCAGACTTTTGAGAAATTGCCAAACTCTGTTCAGAGTCTCTACATAATGCCCTAAGGCTTTTTCCTTCTCTCCCACTCTCTCCACCGGAAGTCTGCAAAGCAGATTATATATATGAATTATAGTTACTATTCTTAATCTCTTACCTAGTTTCTGGAATGATGATAATGCAAAACGATATTGAGCTATTAATTTTATCTGATAATACATTCATTCACATGTTAAAAGGAAGCGTGTAATAATTTATGAGGCTGTAATCACAGATGTAATTAGATTAGATTGGACAGAGAGATTTGTCTTCTTTCTATATTGAAGACAATTCTGAAATTTAAAGAGAATGTTTTTTTATCTGATCCACCTAATTAACGATTTATCACTACACAACCGGTATGAAGACTGCCTCTCAGCAGAGACCGTATTTTTTTCTTCCCTTTTTAGTTTCGTTTTTCATCATCTGTGGAGATTTTAATGATGGCTGCTGGTAGTTTGTGTGCTATTGTTCATGGAGTAGCCCAGCCAGCTGTGTTGCTTGTATTTGGTGCAATGGCAGACACATTTATCGAATATGACATTGAAATGCAAGAGCTTAAAGACCCAAACAAGACATGTATAAACAACACCATAGTGTGGATTAATGGTACTATTCATCAGAATGAAAAGAACGCCACAATAAGATGTGGGTAAGTATGGATGTATTTGTTTCTTTCCCATTGTTATCATAGCTTGTCAGAGAATGCATTGCTATTGAATGTCCTGTTCAGCCTCTAAATCTTATATTTTCTGTTCATAATAATGTAGAAAAGAGGCATGGTTCTTGTTATAGTCCCGTTTCTGAGCTGGCAATATTATCTGAAGGGACAGAAGGTCAGCTTGGATCTTGGTCTTTCAGTTATAGTTGTTAGCAAGAATATCTTTCGATTATGATTGTTCAGATAACAGATATATCTATTACATATCTGAGTTCATTAATCTATTTTCTCTGATTACACTGTAGGTAGTAATGACTTCTGGTCATTTTGGTCAGAGTTTAATTACCTGTAGGTGCCTGCTGACTTCTGAGCAAGTTAGCTAGACTTTTGTCACTGAGAGAAATGAGCATTTTTAGAATGCAATTCACCTTAGCTTATGGGGGATGTCTGAGGCAGTTCAAAAGAACTACCCCATAAGACTGGCTGTTTCTTTCCATTAAATATAATAAATGGAGTCTAGATAATTCATTCAGATACAGATACCTGATAAGGCCAAATTTGAACCTGTAACCTTTCCTAAGAATCATTTCTTGGTGCATCATTACAAGAGTTTTCTAATCCCTAAGTGATGTTTCATTACATACTCAATTGGAATTAAAAGTTACTTGTCTAAAGGTCTCTGAAATTCAGGGCGCATGGGAAGCTATTCATATTCTTAGATGTAGGTGTAGATTTGACTAGGGACAAATTATTTTGCTCCAGGACATCCAAGCCAGCCTTCGGAGATGGGCTGGCAGATAGACTACTGACCTCTGTACCTCTGAAGCAGAAACTACAGACCTGGCAGGACACATTCACAGAACCATAGAATAGTTTGAGTTAGAGGAGACTTTAGGGATCATACCCTTGTTTCAATCCCCTTGCTATGGATAGCGACACTTTCCACTAGATCAGGTTGCTCAAAACCTTATTCGAACTGGCCTTGAACAGTTCCGTGGATGAAGAATCCACAGCTTCTCTGGGTAACCTGTTTTAGTGTCTCACCATCCTCACAGTGAAGAATTTCTTTATAATCTAAAACTGCTCTATTTTAAAGTCATTTCGCCTCCATGCCCTGGAAGCTGCTCCAAGGTCTCCCCACAGCTTTCTCTTCTCCAGACTGACAAGTCCAACTCTCTCAGCCTGCTCCAGTCTGCTCATCATCTTCATGGCCTTCTTCTGGACTTGCTTCAGCTGGTCCATGTCCTCCTTATGTTGGGGCCCCCAGAGCTGGATGCAGCTCTCCAGGTGTCACCAGAGGAGATATAGAGGCAAAGTTCCCTCCCTTGATCTGCTGGCCACTCTACTCTGGATGCAGCCAGGGACATGGCTGGCTTTCTAGGCTGAGAGCACACATTACTAGGTCACATTGAACTTTGTCCACCAACATCCCCGAGTTGTCTCCCCAGGGCTGCTCACAATCTATTCTTCACCCAGTCTCTGTTTGTGCTTGGGATTACCCTGACTCAGGGGCAGGACTTTGCACTTGGCCTTGTTGAATTTCATGAGGTTCACACAGTCCCACCTCTCAAGCCTGTCAAAGTCTCTCTGGATGGCATCTCTTCTCTCCAGTGTATCAACTGCACACACAGCTTGGTGTCATCAACAAACCTGCTGAGGGTGCACTCAAACCCACTGTCCACTTTGTCATCGACAAAGATGTGAAACAGCACTGCTCCCAATACCAGCCCTTGAGAAACATCATCTGCCACTGATTGAGCCCTTGACCGCAACTCTTTGAGTGCAACCATCCAGTCAATTCCTTATCCACCGAATGGTCCATCTACCATGTCTCTCCAGTTTAGAGACAAGGATAATATCAATTGCTTTGCACAAATCCAGTTAGTAGATGATGTCAGTCACTCCTCCCTCATCCATCGATGCTGTAACACTTTCATAGAAGGCCACCAAATTTGTCCAGCATGAGTTGCCCTTATTGAAGTCACACTGGCTGTCACCAGTCACCTCCTTATTTATCATGTGCCTTGGCACAGTGTCTAGAAGGATCTGCTCCACATTCTTAATTATCATGTAAAATTGTTCTGGATATCTGTGTCAGATAACTTAGGTTAACAACCTAAGTTCTTTCCATGACTCTTTTTTTGTCAGAGATCAAGTCAGGTCCAGAATGTCCTCTTGTGGCTTAAAATTTCAGGGTACAAAATTTTTGGTAAATTAAATAAAATTTGCTGTTCTGCAGGACGTTTTTTAAAAAGATATCTAAAGGCATAACTTAGCACAACCTATTTCAAAGTAGATTAAATGCAAAAGCAGCAATTCAGTGCCCTTCACTAATATTAGGAGTAATTATCACTACTACTTGTGTAACAGAACAAATTATCATTTTAGATTAGCAAGCTTATGGTACAGAGTAATATTTTATTTGACTTCAGCAGCCCTCACTTCTCCCTGTAAAATGCAGTTGAAATCCGAGTGTTATTAGTTGCTATAATGGCGCAAAGCAAGCACATTCAACATCTAATGAGAACTTGTTGGGCAGCTCTTCTCTGAAACACCCTCTCACCTGTGCTGTTTCGGAGCAGGCAGTCTGGGGGCATTTCCTGGAGACTACAGGGATGCTCCATGATCGTGGAGCTTTTTTTGGTACCTGCCAGCTCCCACCCCCTGTGCAACAGCGAGAAAAAGGAAGCCAGCCACTAGCAATAGCCTTGGTATTGGGACACAATGCAAAACAAGCTGACTGCCCCCTGGTCTGAATCTAACTTGAAGAAGCATCAGATAAGAAACATGTGAGAAACTTTAAAAAGTATTACTCACTTCTTTTTGCCTTTTTGTTTCCTTTTTCTTTTTTCAGGCTGTTGGACATTGAACATGAAATGACCAAGTTTGCAGGATACTATGCAGGAATTGGTTGTGCCATACTTATATTAGGATACCTCCAAGTCAGTATTTTGTTTTCCATTTTGATTTCAAAGTTTAAATCACTAAACAATTAAGTTTATAATTATTATGTTGGTTTTAACTACTTAGCAGAACAGATGCTTTCCGTTCTCATTCCATTGCTGAAATATGTTAGCTCTGGCAATCTGAGAGCTCCTTGGATTTGCACATGGATACCTTTGCAAAAGGATGCATTTTACCCACACCACAAGCAATACTTGATCAAGTGTTGCTACTATGGAATCCACATGCCCTCCAAAACAGCTGAAGGGCATGCAGATTCCCAGGAGGCATCTCAACTGTATTGAGCCCTGTTTCTGTTACAGAGAGGTTACAGAGCAATACTAGTGTAAAACTAATGTTGGAGAAGAATTGTACCCTACATGTTCTTTAGTAATTTTTCAGTTCTTACGACTGAAGTGAGTCAAAAGCTTGGATGATTCCTGCATAGTCTGCTGAAGGGCCCATGGCTTTTGAAGCATTTTTATCACAAAAATCACATGTCAATCTCCTTCCTGAAAACAATCCAAGAATTTTGCAGAGGTAGGATGGCTGCCATCCCTGTATTACTTACATTTGTAGATGGAGAAAATGTTGTCCATATGGCATTCATGTAAGAGCATAAGTAATTTAACTTGCCTCTCCTCCCATCTTATCAGAACTGAGACAAATGCCTGATCCAGAGCCTCTATAAAATTGTTGGATTATTTAAAGATCAAAACAGCTATCATGTCTATGTAGTCAGAATGTATTTTACCTGAATAGTAATTTTATTAATAACCTTTCCCATAATAGCCAAATTGCTTTTTCTGATTTGTTTGGAGTAGAAATACTTTTTACTGTAATTATCAGCTGTTTTGTGCTTTTCCCAGGTCTGCTTTTGGGTTATGTCTGCAGCTCGTCAGATACAGAAAATCAGGAAAGCTTATTTCAGGAAAATAATGCGAATGGATATAGGCTGGTTTGACTGTACATCTGTAGGAGAACTGAACACCCGACTTTCTGAGTAAGTAATCTAAGAAACCCATATGCTACAGAAAACATTTTGCAGTTCCTTCCAAACACTGCAGAATTCCAGTAATCAGGCATGTGACAAACACCTTTTAGTCGAATTACAGCTATGTTTGTGGGAGCAGCAAACAGACTCTCCCATCTTTGTGCTAAGTACCATAACTGTTGAACCACTATTATTTCCCTTTCATGCCTTGTCTGACAGCAAATGTGTGTGTGTGTGAGTGAATGTGTCAGATGGGTTTTGGGGTGGGTTTTTTTTTCCAGTTTGTCCTCTCCTCTCTTCTCCTTTTGTGCCCAGTCCTTTCAGAGTGATCCATAGTTTGACTGCAAGTGCACACTTCCTGAATCAGCTGGTGCACAGTAGTAAGAGCCAGCTAGTGAATGAGTCTGCTGCCAGAACATTTCCTGGGAAAGGACAGTATATTCTCTGCAATATTCATGCCTGAAAGGCTTCTCCATTGCAAAGGCATCAGGTTTTCTCATTGTACTCCAGGGTCTTTGTATGGGGTAATGGTGAAAGAATAGGGATGAGGATGGGCCCTCTCCAGTGAAAAGCAACTAACCCAAATGTAGCCAAGACCTACAGCGCAAACAAAAGTTTTTTGTTTCTGTTGTTATTGTTTTCCAGTGATGTTAACAAAATTAATGAGGCTATTGCTGATCAAGCAGCAATCTTCATCCAGCGCATAACTACCTTTGTAGGTGGATTCCTATTGGGATTTGTCAGTGGCTGGAAATTGACCTTGGTTATCATTGCAGTCAGCCCTCTGCTTGGGGTTGGAGCAGCTCTCTATGGCTTGGTAAGTGAACTGTGAAAGGTTCACATTGAGCAATAATGAACAGGAAAGATCTGGCCAGAAAGCTGTGAGGATTGGGGAAGTTGATTAAACCCCTTTAAAGTCAAGAGAGACAGATTATGGTCCCAGTAGCACTGAGGGATGGAGGGAGGGGTGTGGTAGAGGGTAGGTGGGCTTCGCTCTCACTTTGTTTTTTCTGATTCCCAGAGTAATAAATCCTGCTGCTAAGAGGGGAGTGTAAGCTTACCTTCTTGTGGGTCCTGTGGATGGGCATTAATGCTGAGATCAGAAGCTGGCCCTTACCTTTCTCAATTACTGCACACCTACTTTAGATGGCTACAAGATCAAGGACATGATTTCTCTATGTAAATTAGTGGCTTTTATGGGTGCTAAGTTTCAGAAACATAGAATGGTTGAAAACAACTTCTCAGAGTTACCTCAAACTGTCCCTGCTCCCAGAAGCTGCTGCACCTTCTCCAGTTGTTCCTGTTCTGCTTCTCCATCCACTTCCTACAAACTTTCAGTGTACACAGGACAGTAAAAAGGGAAACTGCAGGATCTCTGCCTTCTCATGTCCTCTCCCACACTCAGCAGAGCTGGGTAATTCCTGCTCATCCTCTTCATTCTTCTTGGGTTCATTCCTCTGGCAATCTCATTTCTTTCATGTCAGGAACAGCTTGCTATCATTTTGCTATCAAACATCTAATGTAACTGTGACTAATTTCTTGTCTTCCAGCTCTCCTTTAGCACCTTGTGCTGGCTGCAAGTAGCTGATATGAATAATGACTTGTGTGAAGTGGGAGAGCAGAAGCTTGGCAGGGAATGAAATAAAACCCAAAATGTTTTTCCTTCATTTGTTCCATCTTATTCCTCTTTATGTTTGTAATTTTCTCCCTTTACATTCTTGCTTTTCTGTACCCATCTCTTCCCAGTCACATACCTACTGTTAAGTTTTTCCTCATTATGAGCCTTTCCAGCCCAAGTCTTTGTTTTACACCATGAAGAAAATAGGCCCAAAGTCAATCAGCCTGGTTTCCTGTCTTCAAAAAGGACTAATAGATGCAAGGGGTAGGGTATTTGGAAAGAGAAAGGAAAGACTGACACATTTCACTTTCTAATGATATCTCATTCCCAAGTCAATGTGGTATCTCTGCATAGAATTGTAAATTAGTACATTTTCTTCCATTAATTTGAACATTTTTTGAGTCTTAAGTAAGCTTTTGGCATCCAGTGAGCTCTTGGTTACTGTGTAGGATCTGTTTGCTACTAGCCCACAAAACAAAGCACATTGATGGGCAATATCTGTTTTTATCCTCCCCCACCATTACAGTTACCTCTTCTTCCTGAAGTTGGATCTGCCACAGTGGTTAAAGGGCTACTCCTGACACTTAAGCTCCCCCTTCCTCCCACTGTGCACAAACCCTCAGTGTGCAATCTGCTTCAGCCTAGTGAGAGGAGAGAGAGGGAGGGAAGCAGGGAAAGCAAGAGTTAGCTGCTCTTTCTAGCCTCTTGGAGCAGAGCTGTTGCAAAACATATGCTACAAAGGTGTATGCCCTGGCACTAGAAGACTTAAGTCTTTGAGTGTGCAACATGCCTAATAAAAGCCTGCTTGGAGTGCAGGAGGTGATCCAGTGCAGAGCAGCCAGCACAGGGTGGTAGCCAGCATTGCTCATCACTGTCCTTTTCTGTACCTGGAGTTCAGGTGTAACCAGCACTGCTTATGTTCTTGTAGGCTGTGGCAAAACTAACAGGCCGAGAATTAAAGGCTTATGCAAAAGCTGGAGCTGTGGCTGATGAAGTGCTCTCATCCATCAGAACAGTGGCTGCTTTTGGTGGGGAGAAGAAAGAAGTTGAAAGGTTTGTTTGAACAAACTCTAAGGTCTCTGTTTTCATTTACCTGAAGCAATTTAATGCTGTAATGCACATCAGATTCCTAACAATTAATCTCTATATTCTACAACTATGACTATCTATTAGCTCTGAAACTTACATGCATGTATGTTTCAAGTAATGTATGCAGAATTAATTTTATAATTCAGTCTATCAATGAAATAAAACATCAGCAATACTATCTTGAATTCATGCTTACTTGTAGGAACATTCTATCAAATTTTTCCCTCGATGCTGTCTGATGTATCACTTTTGCAGCGTAGCTGAAAACCGAGTATTTTCAAGCTAAGTAGGAGAATTAGTTTCATCACGACATCATAATGATGACATTCAATCATGGCATCATTTTTAATCAGAAAAACATCAGGTTTTTCTTCTGCAAAGTTCTCTTAAATTCTATGAAAATATAACATGGCTATAGGATGTGCTCTGGAGTGTTGGCCAAATTCTTAAATCCTGTGTTAATCTGCTAAAATTCCAAACCCCATGATGAGGTATCTGCAATGGGTGTCGCTCTTCTTGTGCTTATTACACTGGAATATACAAGGATTTAATGATCTGGGAGCATTGCTGGTTTCAGCAGTGCTCTCTCACTTCAGAGTGATTCTGTTTTGACCTTATGTGTGGACATTCTGCTGAGTCATCAAAGGTGCCTCATATGATCTTTCCTCATTTTGAAATTTCTGCCAAATATATTTAATTACCTCTTATTTTTCTCTCTTTCTACAGATATGATAAGAACTTGGTGTTTGCTCAGCACTGGGGAATTCGAAAAGGGATTATAATGGGATTATTCAGTGGTTACATGTGGTTTATAGTTTTTCTAAGTTATGCATTAGCCTTTTGGTATGGCTCTAAACTTGTCCTTGAGGAAGAAGAATATTCGCCCGGCACTCTTCTGCAGGTACTCATTTTAGCTTGATGCAACTTTTCTAGACTGTTCTTTAAAATAATTCTGGAACACATATCTGTTCTGGTATCTGATGGCTCCATGGTAACAAACATTATTTATGTCTTTTAAAGATCATTACTCACTATATGTATGACACAACTGGATAATATAAAAAAATGTTTATTTTAAATATTTTGAATAATACTTATGGTTATCAGAATAATGCCTTCATTTGACAGCCTACACAGTTATCAGAAGTCTTAAACTAGCTTTTCCATTTTGTGGGTCAGCATGGGGCTTCTGGGATGTTGGCTTTTCTGAAGAATTTTATGATGAAAAATGTTGTTGTAAAGAGATACCTAACTCAAGAAAGTCTTGTCATATCTAATGTCTCATGAACACTTTGTGTTCCTTTGAGAAGCCATTTCCTGTTGTTGTTTTGTTTTTAAAAAGGCCATGTAAACATGTATGCAGATAAAAGCACATCTGGCTGTGGCTCCTGCAGATGTACAAAAACCATGTTAACCTGCATGGCACTCATGCCTTCACTTCTGCACAGTAGGTGCTTTAGACACTTTTGGCCTCAATGCAACGAAGCAAACATCTACAGGTATTTTGGTTAGCTGCTTAAGCCAGGACTGCCCAAATGGCAGACTCCAGTCCAAACTCAGAACAACTTTTCCTGAACCATAGTAAGTTCTGAGGATTCTGATGGGACATCTACTTTTGCTCCTTCTCCGCCTGTTGCACTCCATGAGAGTTTCCAACCACCTGCTGCACGCAGTGCAAGACTAAATGGAACTCAACCCATTACTCTGAGAACATTGTAAACCTAAGTCATTCTGTTTAAGGAGGAAATAATTTGCACCTGCTCTCAATACCATAGTTGATATGAGGTAGTGCTGTGAAAAACACTGAGCAATTTATTTGCCTTGCTCATAGTAACTATAGTTCAGTGCTTCCAAATGACAAATGGCAAACAGTGTGGAGCTACTCTGTAGCTGAAAAACTGTAGCTGTTAATGGAGAGAGTCTCCCTTATGCCCTTCCTCACAGCTTCCAGTCATCTTTCTTCTACTTCGTGTTGTCTACCATACACTCCTAGTTTGGCAGGGGACAGGAGGGGGAATTTCTAGATACAAAACATCGAAATATGCTTTTCCTGCTCTCTCAAAAAGTCATACACGTGCCATACTGCCTTGAGATATACTAAGTATTGCCTTCCTTTCTTCTTCTGCCAGGTGTACAGAACATGCTCCTTCATGTTCATGATGGATTTTGACAGGCATAGAAACCCCTTGCTTTAAGACTCATTCCCACAAGAAAATTAGCTAGTAGTGAAGCTGAGTGTAAATGTATGGCATGACTTCACAACCCAGACATTTGCAGTGCACAGTATGCATTCAGTAGCTGCCTCCACTTTACCTATAGGGATATTCCCAGTAAACATCATTATACTGTAAAGGAGAACTAGTCCTATGTACTTTTATTTGTTTGTCAACAGTAGTGTTTCCTTATACAGTTTGCCCCATTTATCCTGAGTTCTGTTTGTATTGTATCCAACAGCTTAGCTGGGTCCTCAATTGCTTCTTAGCAGAATTTGCAGGCCAAGCTAGAGCAAATGGTCACATACCAGACACAACATTCCATGTCTCCTTATGTGCAGGTGAATGTTCAAACTAGCACCCACAATAAAGCAACAAAATGGATCAAAAGCCTACATTAAAGACATTGTCCAACCCTTATAATCTGTTCTGCCCAAACATCTCTGTAATTGAAATGCTAAGAAGTAAAACAGAGTAAATTCTAGGAAAAAACCTGTCAAAAAGTGTTCAAAAGCACACCCATATAGTAGCATTGAGAAGAATAAGCTATACTTACAATACAATGCAGAAACAGACAATGAAATAATTTGCATCTATGTGGTATAAAAGTGCTAAATAAGCCTCTACCTCCTTTATGTTCACCACCTTCCAGTGTCCTGTTCTTTGAAGCCCCTGCCAGCATTTGCAGTCTTAGTTCCTGTCTCTATTTAAGAACCTTCATAAAAACTTTTCATAGAAATGAAGTATTGGCAGCTCTTAGGAAATTTGGAACAAACACTTTTTTATTTTAATTGATATGCTACAACTTTACTTACTTCTGATCACACGGCTGTCGCCCTGATTCTTAAGTTTTTCTAAAGCCTTCTGAGTTTACATTCTGTTGGAAAACTTTCCCACACAATTTCTGTAAACAACGTATTGTTTTGCATTCCTTCATGGGGGTGGAGAAACTTGACGTACTAGTGGTTTATCCAATGTCTTTGGAGAGGTGGCCAATTCACTCTCCAATCCACTGTCACCTTTGGGAAAGTATAAAAGTTGGAGTCAGAAAATAAACTTTCTCTTTTACCTTGCAAAATAGCAGGTGGCTTGCTTTGTGCTTTCACGTGTCCTGTAGCGACATCAGGCTACACACCAAGGGTGAATTCTTGGACTCAAGAGTACTTTGATATTCAATACTGTATCCAGCTGCCTTTATTGTCTGTCAGTCTTCCCAGGAAGAGCAGATGCTGTTGCTCATTTTCTTTCATGTTGTCCTAGGCTTAGGCAAAAAGGGGATCCTTGGGCTTTCAGAAAATGGTCATTAGTGAGTAACTCTTCATTTTGGTTGTTAGAAAAGGATTTAAAACTGTGAGCCCACTGGCTAATGTGCTACCTGTAGAAACTATCCACCCACACTGATAGAATAATTTCACCTCAAAAAGTGGCTTATAAAGTGTTGGTAGCAACCCTTACAGTTCATTTCTCTGTGAGACAGAGAAAAAATATTATCTATAGCTGGTACCTCCTTCAAAAGAAAGTTTTGTGAGTATCGGATGAGACAGAGGCTGTAGTATACAAAGATTGTAATACAGTGTTTTAAGCTCTTTTCTATTTTGCTTACTGGTAGAAGGCACCCCTGAAATAATCTACTTCCCACCAATGTCCTGTTCCAGACCTTGTTTCAAGGAAAAGGCACCCAGTCAAACTGAGATGGCTTAAAAATACATCAGTGGCATCTCAGTAAATAGCTAGATGCATACTTTTTTAGGCAAAGACAAATATGAGTTGATTTACTTTAGCCTCAAATAGAGCTGTTAAAGATAGCAAAAATACCTTCTGAAATGCATTTATTTGCCTTCTTGTTGGCTAATAATGCTCGTATAGTGAATCACTTCAGTTCAGTAGATGCATGAGAAGTCATGAAGCTACTGTAGTTGGGTTTGCCTGTCTAAGCTGTAAACTATAATAAAAATGTGATGTCATGTTTTGTTAACTTCTTTTTCTACTTCTTCAGGTTTTCTTTGGTGTTTTAATAGGAGCATTAAATCTTGGCCAGGCATCTCCCTGTCTGGAAGCCTTTGCCACTGGTCGTGGGGCTGCAACAAACATTTTTGAGACAATAGATAAAGTAAGTAATGCATTTCTAAGCTGTGTTACTTTGTAGTGCAAAAATAAGCCTGAAGTGGTACTAGTTTTATCTGCTGTGTAAATGAGGAAAAATGAGTCCGATTAAAGAAAAACTGACTGTGCAATCGAAAAGTCTAGTGGGATACACATGGGCTCAAAGAACACATTGAACAGGTTTCTTAAGTGGCCCGGTTCTGAGTTCTGAACTTTACCACAGTTGCTGCTGTTCCTTGTTCCCATTTCTCCTTACATGCAATTACTTATCAGTGCTGGCCCATGGAAGGTGTATGCAGGCAGTAATAGCCATTCTGCAACCAAACTTGCAGCAGCCATCCCATAGCTCCCAGCCTCCAGATGGCATCACAAGCTGTGGCTTTGTTGGCATTAGTGGTGAAGGTGGCCTCTGTCACCTGTCCCAGAGCTACCCTGAGCAAAAATGGGATCAAATGAGCACAGGCACTGGTTATGCAGCTGTCACAAATGTTAATCACAATACTATCTAAACAGATACTTGAAATAATTGTATGAGAGACCGTGAGATGCCACGGAAATTTATTGATTCCTTTCTTGAGGATTCCTTTCTATAGCTTTATAAATTTAGTGGTTGGAAATGTACTGTTGATTTCTTAACATATGTACTGTCTCTGACAAGCTTTACTGTGCTGAAAGCTGTGTAAACACATTAAAATGCTGCTTTTCTTCTACAGAGCACATAAGGCTATGGTAATGCTGACAGTTTTTAGTAACCCTTCAAACCTCTGTAATAATGATAAAACATATACACTTCAGAAGCTAAAGTTCTAAAATCTCTAAAATAGAGATGGATTAGGAATGTGCTTTTCTGAGACAAAATTTAAAATCATGAAGAGTAGCAACAGTAAGGATTAATCACAATATTCAGGATAAGGCTGAATCACATAACCTTAGGGTAAAAAAAGCAGACCAACTTCACATTTCATCTATCTAGAGAAAGGGTGACAAAATTGGATCCATCCCCTTGCCACATTTGTAGATTTGTGATTAGGCAGTACAAGCACAGCTCTGCCCTGGCACTGAAACTAGTCATGTTGAGGTTCCCATTTGCAGGATCAGTGAAACTTCTTCATAGATGAGTATTGAAATTTAAGTAAGTTATATTCCTAAAGTGGAACCAATCTTGTAGCTGTTCTTAACATCTCAGAACATACATATTTCTCATTTTAACTTTCCTTTCAATCTGTTAGGCTATATTAAAAAAGCATGTACATTTCAGTTATCAAGTATTCATTGCTATAATTTTAATTTACTGTTTATATTCCATGCTTCAGAAATCCACCCTTAGAAAATTTTATTTCTTTGTGATTCGTCAAATTCCTCTTAGTTCTCTGCTCATGTCTAGCAGTCCACAATACCCTAGACCTGACCAAAACTATGCAAGACCCAAAGCACTTATTAGGAAAACTTCAGTATTTCAGCTCTTAGGACTGGCTGTACAAGGATGGATGTTTTAATTGCTAAGTGGTGAGACCTGAAGATTTGCAGCAGTTTTTGAGTGTGGTAGTGCCATTTTATCGCTGAGGAGCTGGCTAAATTAGCTTGGTCAAAATACTTCTGTCAGTCATCTACTCAGTTCCAGCAAAAACTGCCTGAATGGTTGGCTGTGATATTTGCAGTAAGCCTACAATAAGAGGTGCAGCCTTCTTGTCTGTGCTACCACCAGTGACAACTCCCCCATCACTCTGGCCTCAATTCCATGTCCCTTGCCTGCTATCCCTGGGGCAGAGCCTGCAGCTGGCTCCATGCAGCTAAGTGCTGTTCTAAGAGAAGTGCCACAGCTTCGTATGGTATTGTATTTATCTACTGCAGCACTGTTGACTGTTTAACACCAAATAAATAACCCAATAAATTTCATCCTAGAAACCAACCATTGACTGCATGTCAGAAGATGGCTACAAGCTGGATAAAGTACGAGGTGAAATTGAATTTCATAACGTAACATTTAATTATCCATCCAGACCAGACATAAAGGTAATCATTCATCACCCATGCTCTGAACACAACTATTGTAAGCAAGAAAAATATCCTGGTTCTGTCAGCAATCTCTAGATTTTCCAGAGATAGTTTGCCAGAAGTTCAGACTCTTTGCTTAAAAGTAGACTGAATAATTCTTCCATTAAAGTGTTCTTCTGCTTACTGTTTAGCTTATTTTACCATTCTGACATATCCATTCCTTTCTGCTGAACATAAAATCCCAGTAATTCTGGGCAAATTCACCTGCGTACAGCTTCTCTTGCAATCAGTGATGCCCTTGTATCAATGTGTAAGAGATAGAACACGAAGTATTAAACTGAATGGTGCAAGGAGATATTATAAAACTCTTCCATTACCCTAGGATGCACCATGTGACCCATTAAAAAGCTAGGAAAGGGACAGGAGTGTAGGCTGTATATTCCACTATTTCTTTACTCCTGTGTTTGAATTGACAAATTCTTGGAAAAGCATGTTTTTGGACAAGCATATTAGTGCTATTACTTCTGAAGATGGAAGTACATGTTGTATCAGATTTTTCTACAAAATTTCATGGTTACATTCTTAATGTTTATGCTGTAGCATACATTCACAATACACACACAGTGTTCTTTAAAAGGAATATAATGTAGTAACTTCTCTAGTGTATTAACTAGTTCTCGATGATTAACAGGAACAATGAAAAGTCAAAATCTGCCTCCCTGTTGTAGAAATGAGTGCTCTACATCTGCAATGTTTTAAAACAGTGTAAAAATATGTGTCTTGCTTTATCCTCTTTCTTCATAATACTATTCTGAATTTTGTAAAATTGTTTTGAATCTTTAGTTTAAGGTACAGAATATACTCATTTGGCTGTATGACTGTGGAAGAATTAAAATAAATTCTGTTTCTGGTTTTCTTTCCTATCCAGATTTTGGATAACCTTAATATGGTGATTAAAGCAGGAGAGACGACAGCTTTTGTTGGAGCTAGTGGAGCTGGGAAAAGTACAACAATACAGCTCATCCAGCGTTTCTATGACCCCACTGATGGCATGGTGAGTGTCCCAGCTTAGAATGTGATCCTCTGGCCCCAGAAACTGAAAGACCAGCATGGTTTCTTCTCCAAGGTGGGATGGAAGACTATTAACTTCCTTTTCATGTCTTTTTTTCCCCAATTATTTTTTAAATGAGTGAAATATCTTCCTGCACATTTCTTTTATAAAACTGTGCTTAATAGTCTTATAAAAACAATTATGTGAAAGAGGAAACTGTTAGGAGAAAATAAAAATTCAGTGCTAAATCTGTGTAAAAACTATACCTATAAAAACATTTGTCACTACTGAATTATCATTTTCTGGAAAACACAGTATTGAACATTTAAACATTAACCCATAATATCACTTAAGTATATGCAATTACCACTTAGTCATGGCTTGGCTAGGAATATGAATTATAACTATTCAAATTCTCAATCCATTTATGTGTTCCTATATCAAATAGGAACACATAATCACGTACATGTTGACCGGTATTTGAATATTTAAAAAACAAAGAAACAAATTATTGTAAATAACATAATAATCACTTTCATGATTACATTTCACCTGGTTTTATTTCTGGTGCCAAGCAGAAATGGGAAATGAAATCAAAGAGCACAACTCCAAGGGCCAATACTACCGCCACTGCTTTGCCACCTTCTATATCTGAAAGCTGATATTTATGCTGGTCATGGAAACACAGCATCACAGGCCTTTCACTTCCAGTGTGTCCTACTTTGTCTCTCAAGTGGAGGGCATAATGTCTGATTTTTTTCCTGATTTTGTGTCCATGTTCTAATTGTAGATTACCCTGGATGGCCATGACATTCGTTCCCTGAATATCCAGTGGCTGCGATCACAGATTGGCGTAGTTGAACAAGAGCCGGTGCTCTTTGCCACCACGATTGCAGAGAACATTCGCTATGGGCGGGACGAGGCTACCATGGAAGACATAATCAAAGCAGCCAAACAGGCCAATGCTTACAATTTCATCATGGATTTACCACAGGTATGCTCTGCCTTGGAAAGTGTTTGGCAGAATTTGATAAGAAAAAGGAATCTTTTTGTCCTTTTGTCCCCCCTAGCCTGCAGCAATTTGTGCTCAAGTGGAAGGGCAGAAGATTAATACAGATAGGAGGCAACAACCTTTCCTTTGACTACAGTTATTTAGGTCTTACTATATGTATGCCATGAAGTTACGAAAGCAAACATCTCCCCACCCCAAAATACAACCTCGAGAAGAATCAGTTCCTCAGGAATCATATACACAACATTCAATATCATGGTAATAATCATAGCCTGGTTTAAAAATTTGTATTTTTCATGTTTTGGAGATCTGTTTCTGTTCAGGCCAAAAGCAATGTAGAGCTCAGCCTCTCACTAGCCAGCATTAATTACTTCATCTGTCTGTACTGATACGCACGACCTCACTTCCTTGTATGAGCTCTGTAAGCCAGCTGGAGGTTCCTTATTCTCCAGTTTCTTCCCTAACGATGACAGGGCTTAAATCATTCCTCCTTACAAAGCCCAAACTGGGTAGTATCAAGCTCCCTATACTTTTCTAGAATTTTATTTTGCCAAGTAGCTTCTGAAAATGACATGTTACAACAGTGAATGTTATTGACAAGATTCAAGTACCATTAACTAATATTAGTACATTGTCTTTATCCTCCATCTATGCACTTTTAGGCTTCCAGGAAACTATTTACTGAAAAGCTGTTCAAAGGCCCCTATTTATTTCATGGAAATGGAGGAATAAAAAAGATTTGGCTCTAAGTGAATATAATGATTCTGTCTCTCAATATGCCAGACTTTGTGTATTTATTTAATTCTCTACCTGAACACAATGCCACCAGAGTATGGTGTCCATGAATCACGGACACAGTGTTCACGAGTCACAGGTCATCAGCAGACAAGGCCAGGAAAATTTTGCTTGTGAGTCATCTGATGGAGAGTGGGTGGGTGACTCCTCTTTATTTCAGCTTCTGCTGACATAGCGGTTTCAAGCTGAACCAGAACGTCTCACCTTTTTAACCAGTGCGTACTTTTGGCATGGGGTTGAAAACCTGATTCAGGTAAAATGATCTTGTACATCATGAAGAAAGTTATTTCACCTGTTGCTCTTTGAATCAGCTGCATTAACTATGTTTTTGTTTAAAGTCTACTCCAAGGACAAATCTCAGACATTTTGCCAATACCTTCACCAGGATCTTAACAGGCTTTTTTCTCATCTGTTTAATTTTAACTTTTTTCCTTCACACAGAAATTTGACACTCATGTTGGAGAGGGTGGAAGCCAGATGAGTGGAGGTCAAAAACAGAGGATAGCTATTGCTCGAGCTTTGGTGCGAAATCCCAAAATCCTGCTCCTGGATATGGCTACGTCAGCACTGGATAATGAAAGTGAAGCAATTGTCCAAGAAGCACTTCATAAGGTTTGCTATAGTATAACAAAAATCAAACTCAAAAGGGCAGAAATTATTTATAATGTACTCTGCAGATGGTGCTCCTGAATTGCAACAAATCATTCAGAAAGGTTTCTTAATAACTGTTTTATAAGTACAAGTAGAACCTTAGTATTATGGACTGAGAATAATTTTTACTTTCTTTGGGACATCAACAGGAACCTATAGCTCCCTTTGCCTAGAAACAGATACTTCTCTGTGGGCTGTGGATGGAGCTAAAGTCAAAGTGAGCCCACTAGAAGGACTCCAGTTAATTTGATGAGGCTTTAGGTTGCACAGCTCATTGCCAGCATTTCAGAGTGCTGTGCTGGGAGTGTGGCTGTTGCTGTCTCCCTCAGGCTCGCCTCGGCCGCACCGCGATCTCCATCGCTCACCGCCTGTCAGCCATCAGAGCCGCCGACGTCATCGTCGGGTTTGAGCACGGCAGGGCTGTAGAGAGAGGAACTCACGAGGAACTCTTGCAGAGGAAAGGGGTTTATTTCATGCTGGTGACCTTACAAAGCAAAGAAGACACAGCACCTAACACAGAAGAAACAGAAAGTAAGCATTTTGTTTTCTTTTATAAAATAATGTAAAATCCCACAGAATGCAGATTTTCTTTCTTTTTTTTTTTCTTTTTTTTTTTTTTTTTTTTCTTTCTTTTTATAAGGGCTAGTAGCTGCTTTTCTTTTTCTTCTGCTTTTATGGCTGAATTTTATCATTCATAGAAGTAATACACTGATAGCCCTGGCCAAACTGGTTTTGCTGCATATGCACTGAAAGACCTTCCTAATATAAGTCTGCCCTGAAATATTAGTTCTCATGAGCAATATCCATAATTTTATAACTCCACTGAGTGCCAAAAGTTCAGTTCTCCTGCATTTGGAATTCAGGCACATGATAGATTATGCTGAAATCATCACATTTGTTTTACTGGAGGCAGATTTGAATCAAAGCCTCTGGAAATTAAGGTTTAATAGAATGATCTGTTGTATTTTTGTGAAGCATACATTGGATATAATTATCTTGAAATAAGAGAGCAATTGCAGGGTTAAAATGGGTAAAAATGCTTTAAAAGTCACATCCGAAGTGAGACGGTCCTTGGGCTAATATTCAGTTAACTTCATTATGTCAAATACAAATATAAAACTTGTGAAACGTGTAGGTTGAGTAGCAAGGTTATATTACACTCCTTTCCTTCTATAAAGTATTCAATTTATAGCTTGGAGGCTGTACACTTTTTGCAGAACCACAGTGTATTTAGGTTGTATTCAATTTTGGCACTAACTTCAGAGCTCTATATACTGTATTTTGCAGCAGCAGAGAATAATGTGGTTGAGCCAAATCTTGAGAATGTCCAGTCATTCAGCAGAGGAAGCTATCGGGCCAGTTTGCGGTGAGTCTTAAAAATGGTTGTAAATCTCAATGTTTCCAGACTACTCTCAGTGTTTCTACTTCATCCCACTATTCCAAAATCCTAATAGTGCTAATAAATCCTTTTTCTGTGTACTGTGTAAAAGAGGGTTGAGGGGCTGCAAGCATTTTACTGAGATAGAGCTCTCTTGCAAAGAAATAGCTTGAGTAATAATGTTACTGATTGAAATGCATGGATAAGTAGCAAGGCTCTTAATATTTGTCCTTTCTATCCATAGTACCTTCTCTCCAATTTTGATCTACTCTGTTAATGTTCTGGTTTTGATATTACTAACATACAGCCTTAGTTGTAATATCTACTGCACTCTCTGTCCAGTTGTTTGAAAAATTACTTGCTGTGCAATCCACAAGCACACTTTTATTATGGCTTCTACTTGATGAAAGTTAAAGCATTTTACAGCCAGACTGTCTTGTAGCTAGACACTTCTTACTTCTTCCAGGCAAGCCCTTGTCAGGCATGTTGAAATGAATACATCTCCTACATCACAGAGTTATGTTTTTACAGAGAGAGAGGTGCTTTGCTTCAGCATACTGTTTTGCTGGACTGAATTACAGTGATTTTAATTGGTGTCTTAATAACTTGTGCAAATGTAGTAGGACACACCAGTTTTACTTAACAAATACACAGTACATGGTTCATCTAAGACAATGTCTGAGTGGTGTGCGTGGAATATGATTTTGAAAAGTATTTGTCCCAGTTGGTGAGCTGTTTTCTTCCAAAGAAGTTGAGAGAACATACTCAAGAAAGAAAAAGTCTGTGGGATTCCTATTAATTGCTTCAGTGCATTCTGATTTAATTGACATGAAAACTGTACCTGCTTTGCAAGCAATTATTGTTTTTACTAAGCTGTAAAGAACAGGCAATTGCTGTTCTCTTTGCAGAGCTTCACTTCGGCAGCGCTCAAGATCCCAGCTCTCTAATGTGGTCCCTGACCCTCCACTGTCTATTGGAGGAGATCCTGCAGAGTCTACCTATCTTACACCTTCTTACGAAGAAAATGATGGAAAAGCAAAAAAGGTCAGGTCCAATAGTTTGTTATGAAATTTTCAACTTAATAGATTATATTACTCATTAATGATCATTTGTACCTATGTGCTTGTAGCTTAGGAGCTCTTGGCAGGTACATCTTGGCTTGATCCTTTTCTCCCCCCTAAACAAAACCACAGCTTCAATTCTTATCTCTTTGTAAACCCTAGGCTGCATTTTGATGGCTGTTTTGATTATTGTTATAAAATATAAAATTTCTAGCAGAGAAATTTTGCCATTTGCTCTCTGCCTGTTGGTAAATTGATATATGTTGTAGATTTAGTTGAAAAACATACATCATAAAAGCTGAATTAAGTGACAAAAAGCAAACTGTTCAGTCTGCAAAATGTAATTAATGGGCACTCAGTGGTACAAATGGCACTGCTTCTTGTTCAGTAAAGAATAAATTCACTTTCATCTAAAAATCATCTGGAGACTTGGGCAGAGAGACACCCTCACTGCAACCTAACCCAAAATCCTTTTGCTTCAGTGTCCTCATGCAATCAACTGGAATAGAAAATAAAGGCCAGCCAGCATGCCTTAAAATTATACAGAATATGTAGGAGCATGCATAGTGGGTTTCCAAAGTGCCTATGAAGCTCCCTGCATCAACTTGCATGTTCAGTACAGAGAGCAGCAGATAGAAGTTACCCTTCTTGCTATTGCCAAGCCTATTCTGTGGATAAATAGAGGGCTTGAGTGCTGTCATTCTGGCAACAGCTCAGAAAAAAGAGAAAATACAAGATGTTTCCACCCACTCCTCCCTGCATATTTCCAAAAGACAGGTCTTCATGGTGTCTTTTTTGTCTGGCTGTTTCCAGTCATATGAATTGAGGAAGATGAGCAGGGCTGAGCACACAGTGTTAGAAAAATTCTGCAAAAATCAAACTGAAGGATAAGTTATAATTTGATGATGAATATTCTGCCCTTACTGGGCATAATTATGGGAATTCAGCATACAGGCTGAGGATGTTTCACAGAAGGGAGGCATAATTACAGTGTAAAAAGCCTGAATCCAGCTATCACTCTGAAATACCTCTTGTTTTAATGATATCACATACCTGTTAATTTGATGCAGTCTGATCAGTGTGGTCACACACAATACTTTAAAATAATATTTAAGAGATTGAATAAGTGACAGAAAAAGGCTGCTTGTGAGGTAGGAATTTAAGTGTTGGCACTGGGTATTTCATCGCACCTTGTCTGGAGACAGCTGAAAGGGAATAACCTGAGTTTCAGTGGCAGAAAATCTCAAGCTGGTTGTAAATAACCTCTGCAGCTGGAACAATTAGAGCTGCAAAAGATAATAATGTCTCTTTTTTCCCCAGGGATGGTAAAGGTTGATGTTTATTTAAGCGGTTTTTAAGTAAACTTGACCTATTAGGGCCACAAAAGAGCTCCAGACAGCAACCATCTCTGCCCCTCCTGTCCAAAGCTAGAGCAGCTGTGTGGGCCACTAGCTTAAAAAACTAGGCTAACTATTTTATCTCACTGTCAAAGGGAGAGCATCACTGATGGAATGCATTCATTTCAGAAATCCAACCTGGGTTTTTTTTAGGAATCTGTTGTGGAGGAAGATGCCAAGCCTGTACCATTTACCAGAATTTTGAAATACAATGCCTCTGAATGGCCCTACCTGGTGCTTGGATCTCTGGCAGCAGCTGTGAATGGAGCCGTCAATCCACTCTATGCTTTGTTATTCAGTCAGATTCTTGGGGTATGTTATGGTAACATTTTAAAGTGTATTTTAGCTCTGAAACAGAGGAGAGTGAATATATGATGCACAACTTGACATGTTTTGGCAAATCTTTTAGATGTCATCATGAAAATGGGGTTAACCTTCTTGCTTATAAACAATTATTCAGTAGAGATATTTATATCACTGTCATCAAACTATAATTAGAACTCTTTGAAAGGGTAAGCTTATCAGCATTTGTCATGTGTTCTTCATTATCTCTTTTGTTCATTTTCCAGGAACTGTTGGGAATAGGTTTCTATACTTGTATACAGTTTATTTTAGATGAGACAATAAGTACCTCACATGCAGGTACAGTGGAGAGAGACACATCCAAAGGTCATTCTCTGCAGAATTTTATTATACAGACTTGGAAAGCCTTTGAGAAAGCTTTGGATCAGATCTAAAAAATACTTCACTTTTTTTGTTTACATATTTCAGGCACCTTTTTGCTGCCTGCTCCCTGCAGAATGCCTAGGGAGAGGTAGGTAATTGTACCTGGGTTCACAGCCAGCAGCAAGGAGTAGGCTTGCATCAATAGGTTTGGAAGCACGAGGCAGGAATATGCTTTAAACTTTAACATTCACTAAAAGATAACAATATTATCAAAATCCACCACCACCACCTCTCTTGAAACTTGTCAAGTTGAGCCATGAGTGTTTATTTCTTAAAAAATTTGTGGTGATAGAAAAAAGGATGTGTCCTCTTTTGTGTAAAAACTTTCTGGGAAAATGCTTGCCAAGTTGGTGGGAAACTGGAGGGCTGCCTGAAGATACTCAGTGCTGCTCTAACTGGTGCCTAGGAAAGTGTCTTGAATTTTCAAGAATTAGGCTAGAGAAATCCCATCTGTTCATGCTGTATCTTATTAAGTAAAGCAACAACACATTCACTGGGAACAAAATGGGAATGCCACAGGTTTTTTGTGGTTTTGGTACCCATCTGATGTAGGATAAAACTTGTGCTTCCCACTCACTTGCATAGGTCATGGTTGGGACAGATGGGTGCAAAACTATATGCCCTAAAAAGTGGACAGATGTTGGAGGTCAAAAACCTTACAGGCGGGAAAAAGCAAACGAATGAACGGATGAATGGATGACCCAGCATTTGAGCTCCTGGTAGAAAAGGATTCTAAGAGCAATGTCAGCAATCTATGGAAAGAAAGTTTGACATTTTGTTGTTTGGTTTTTTGCGGTATTGTTCTGGCTTAGACATTTCTCTCTGGAAAGTTGCTTAGAACTTTGAATTACATTTACTAGCAGTTTTGCATTTGAGTGAGATCCCATGAGCAGGAGAAAAAAGGATGTTCCAGGCCCTGTTGATTCACTTAACATTTCTGCCCAATGTCCTTGGCCTTTAGGCATAGGTGTGCCACCTCCAAACACTTTTTGAGTGTCCAGACTTCATGTCAAGGACTGTGGCTTTCACTAAACAGCAGGTGAGACACTGCTTTACACATTCCACAGTGAATCTAACCTTTGATTCCTTTGGAGAGGACTCTTCTAGACCTTGGGAGGTCTGGGGCTAACAATGCTAAACACCTTCATTGCCAAGGATGAATTCCTAGTTTTGAAGGCCTCAGTCTATCAAAGGAGAGAGGTTGCAAGAAAAAGCAAACCATAATTAACATGAGAGAAGTCCAATATCTGTGTTTTATTATTCATAAATTTAAAATATTTCTGCCTGATGACAAGGCAGTCAGGCAGACGGAATATACATCTGCTTTCAGATCTGCCCAAATTATGTACAATGTTGTTGTGTCAGACACGTGGGCTTGTACTCTGGGACAAATATGCTCGGGAAGTGAGGGAAAAATCCCCACAGCTATGAAGTGAAAGGATAAATTTAGCTAAGTCTGCCCTGAAGGTTTTCAGAAATAAGTCCCAAAAAGTCAATGAAGAACTAGATAATACTGTGTATGTACCTTTTGAACAAAGTTTTCAGTAGTTTCTTTTACTTATGCTTTGGTTCTCCCTGTGGAATTGTCTCAGAGTATGGATCCTTTCCAGTGAAACTCAGCTGAAAGGTGTGCTCTTACTCCTATTGGGCATGGAGTTCATGGCTCCAGATAAAAGATAGTCCACACTAAAACTGATGAGACTTACATGATTTGAATATGGACACCTCAGCAACAAATCTTTCTTTTTTATAAACCTGCTGCTATTATCCATGCTGCATGTTGGCATGATCAGTGTCATTTTTTTAATAAAGAGCACAGATTAAAAACATAACTGAGCATGTTAGGATAGCTGCAGAATGGGATAGTTTGATTTTACAGGACAGATTTTACTGTTGCTTTGTTGCTATGCTGTTTATTACATTGCTATTCTCTGGTTATCATTATTTACAGTGGGAGGTGAGTGGTTAATTATAACCAGGGATAGGTCACAAATAGGAGTAGTGTGTGCGGACACCAAGCACTTGTTGGACTTGTTGGTTAACAGGAGTAAAACCCATTATGTTTTAAGCCAGGCTCACCTTAGGAAAAATAAGGAATCTGACCTTTGCAGGGGGTGAGGGAGAACTCTGTGTTCTGGCTTTGGTTGCAGGATGGGTTTCTGCACTTGGAAACTGGGAGTCAAGTACATATGTCACACAGCAAAACTGACATTTCGGTTTATTTCTTTTCAAAGACCTTCTCCATTCTTGATGAAGAAAACCAAAAAAAACAGATCAATGGTGTCTGTGTGCTCTTTGTCTTAGTTGGAGTTCTTTCACTTTTCACACAGTTTCTCCAGGTAATAGTTCAATTTAGCAATACAAACTTTTGGTTTTGCACCCTTTCTTGGTGGGTGTCTCTTTGTACAGTCTGTTTTTATTCTCATGTACCCCAGGGATACACCTTTGCCAAATCTGGTGAGCTGCTTACAAGACGGTTAAGGAAAATTGGTTTCCAGGCTATGCTTGGGCAAGACATTGGTTGGTTTGATGACCGGAAGAACAGCCCCGGTGCTTTGACTACCAGGCTTGCAACAGATGCCTCACAGGTCCAAGGGGTAAGACCTGGCACCTTATGAATCATTTTACTATAGACACTGATTGAAGCCTTATTTTGGCATGTTCTCATAGAAATTAGCTACCATGCAACCAGCCAGATCAGTGTAGATCAGTTCTTGGTAAGCCAATTAAGCTGATTCCATTACAGACTGCCACTGAGGAACCAATAGTAGTATATGGTATACCATAAAAGTACAAAAATGGACTCAAAAATTAATAAAATACCAACCAACAATGGGATGGGAAGAAACACCCAATGTAGAAGTTTGATTTTCTTTTTTTTTTCTGGAGATGAATTAGCTTTTTGCCACAATGTTAGAGTGTTTATTTCAAAAACACATCAAAATAGTATGTTTTTGACAGTCATTAATACTCATATTTTCCAGTTTCCAGCATGTATTGTGCATGTTGTGGCAATATTGATCTAAACTGACAACCCACTTGAAAAACCAATCTGCAGTACTGGCTGGTGCTCCAGCTGGGAATCCTGCAGCCAGTTTCAGTGTTTGGGAAAGTGAGACACTAGCTGCATGCATAGTGTTCCTCAGTGTCTGAGGGTTAAATCATGCTGAGCTATGCATGTTCCCTATCTGAACTGATCCTTAGGTAGAAGTGAGTCAGATGCCATTTTGCTGGGCTGCAATGCAGGCAATTTCCTAGAAACAAGGAAGATGTACAGATTTCTTTTGTTGCAAAAATTGTCATGTTTCAGCTTGACTGAAGATTGTAAGTTAGTTTCAAAAAACTTTAAATGGGGGTTTTAGAGAAGAGGTTTCCAAAAGCCCTGTCAGCAGCAATTTCTACAGAATCAAAGAAACCTGCTGCAAACCTCACAGGCACTTACAGGATATATTTTAATTGAAATAAATAAACTTGCAAAATTCTGACTGAACCATTTAATGTCCTAAGAGTTATCTTTGTTTGAAACAAAAACAGTGAGGCAAAGCAGTGAGGCACAGCCATCCAAGCCACAGCTTGCAGGGGGTGAGGGAGACCAGAGCTACCTCTGCAGCATTGCCCTGAACCTTCCACTGCCTGACACAACCTTGCTGCAGGTCAGAGGAGGAGGAGATGATGAGCATTTTGTGCTGGCAAGTTCATACCCTGCAAATGAGTTTGACTGAAAATCATCAAGCATATCAAATGTACATGTTTATTCTTACACATAGCAATATTGTTCCTATTCAGGGTGCTGTTTACTGCTATGAAAGAAAATTACTTTTCAGTAAATAAGTCTATTAGAAAGAATAGCATTGTTGAAGTACATAAGGAGCAGACAAATATATTCAATAAAGATGATGTCAAAGCTATATTTAACTTTTTTCCTTAATAAAGGGATAGGCAGAAATACAACTTTGTTTCATCCCTTTTCAGTGATGTTGCTTACTGCTGAGGCTTTGTTGTTAATAGCTAAGCTATAAAATGGTCCTGTTGATTATTTATATCTTCATGGATAAATGTAGAGGCTAAAAAATGTATTCAGATGAGTGATTCTCCAGGGAACCAAGGCAACAGATTTCAGTAATTACATTATCTTTCTCACAAACAGTAGAAACAATCTTCTGAATTCTCAACGGAAAATTTGGTGGATCAAAGGACATTTGCAGTCCTGCTCTTCATCCGATTAACTGGAAACAGTATTTCCAGACTGGATAAATTCCAGTGCAGTCTAGCTGATAGTGTCTTATGTTATTTTAATTTACAGTTTTCTAAAGTTTTATAGGACAATTTGTTTGATTTGTTTTTGAAGTACGAACAATGATGTCTGTTCCTTTTCTTCAAAGGCAACTGGATCGCAGATAGGAATGATTGTCAATTCCTTTACTAACATTGGGGTAGCCGTGGTCATTGCCTTCTACTTCAGCTGGAAATTGAGTCTGGTAATAATGTGTTTCCTGCCATTTTTGGCTTTATCTGGAGCTGTGCAGGCTAAAATGCTGACAGGATTTGCCTCACAGGACAAGAAAGCACTGGAAGCTACTGGACGGGTAATGCTGTTTAAAGACTAATTTATATTTTCAGTCACAGGTAGATGAAAAATCAGTCTTTAGGGACCATCAGTAATTCAAATGTCATGAAACTGGCAATGCTTTGTGAATAAGTTGCAATATTTCAGCCTGTTAAACCATGCAGCACTTGCTGCATGGAACATGACTGACCTTGCAAAAGTTATTGGACTGAAGTGGTAGACACAGATCTCTCAGCAGTCTGGTTCACCTTTGTTGGGTTTTATTTAAACTCCCATTTGCTGATGACCTGTGATTAAGCTGTCTTCAGAAAGCACTTATAGCTGTTCACCTAGAAATGCTCACACCTGAGAATCTGGTACTGAACCACAAATCAGTATGCGGATTTAAGAGAGGACAGTTACAGTTCTTCCTTTGGTGGGTCGCACCAGCTTAAGAATTAAGGTCTTAGTCCTTCCATCTTAAGAATTAGGACCTGACCATTTGCCTGCACCCAGAATAATTAATTATTTACAAAGTTCTTAAAATACTTCTTGACAAGGAGACAAACTTCACTAATGAGTCAAGGCAACAGCTCTCAATAGAACAACCCAGAGGCTATGATGAAGTAATATTTTAAGCAATGTTTCAGCAGTTTTGGTAATGACTGATTGTGTCTGGTGTTATTTTCTAATTTATTTGCCAGCACTGCATTCAAATGCTAAAACCACCGAATTCTTCCAAAGTGAATGTTCATGAGCCATGCTAAACATTGAAAAAGTCTGCACAATCCAATCCACAATACCTATTATCTGCTCATACCTATTATCTTCACATTGAATGATAATGCAAGACATTGACTCTCAATTTTGGCCAGGAAAAAAAAACCCTGAAGCTGGACTTCTGATTGTCTACATTCAGCTCTTTTCCTACAAGCTGAAAACTTCCATAAGCTATAATACCATAGTTGCCTCCCAAAGGAATGTGTTACATTATGAATCTACTATCAAAGTCCAAGTAAACTACAGCATTTTAAAACAATTTCGTAGTAAAATTATTTGATATTAAAAGGGTGAAATTAGGACCAAACAAGCTGTCAATTTACTTCTGTAAATGAAACTGTGGTACTCTCTTATTGGGATATAAACCCAAATTCTGACTGGCAATAAATTACATTATGAAGCCTACAACTAAAAAAAGTTCCACACAAGTTTCTGTGGGGATTATCTCATAATTTCCTGTGTTGCATTTTTCTATGTGCATAGGCAAGCATTTGCTTACTCTTTGCCTATGTACAAGATAAAAATCTTGGAAATTGTATCACTAAAGATTTATATGCTCCATCTCATCAGCCTTTTGGATATCAGAGGGGGAGGGAGGGTGAGCAGGTGAGGAAATTTAGTAAATTCAAGTGGATACAATTGATGAATTGGAAGCTGGGGATGCTATCCCTTTTAACTCTTTCTCTGACTATTGCTAAAAGTAACACAAAACAATTGAAATAAACATATTTAATTAATAAATACATGCAACCAAAGAAGTTCCTAAAACAATTTTTCCTTTTGTGGATGTCATATTTATTCACATTATGTGAAATAAGTCACAAGTGAGAGCACGTGCCTGATTCCCTGAAAGTGTTTACAGTAACAGCTCCAGTGGAGTAGGCAGAGCAATGCTCTTGAGAAAATCAATAGGTAATTGCTTGTAGGAAAAGTTCTATCTGATGTTTTGGCCAGTCTGTATCATGTCTGAATGAATTTATAGATTGCATCAGTGTCCTGAGTTCATGAAAGAATCATGCACTTTTGAGACCACACTCTACTTTTCCAAGTAAAAATTAGGAGCTTTTACCCAATTTTCTATCTTCCAGATTGCCAGTGAAGCTCTCTCTAATATCAGAACAGTAGCTGGGATAGGAAAAGAGAAAATGTTTATTGACAATTTTGAGAAGCACCTGGATTTGCCCTACAGAGCTGCAATCAAAAAAGCACACGTGTACGGACTCTGCTTTGGCTTTGCCCAGAGCATTGTGTTCATTGCCAACTCCGTCTCTTACCGATATGGGGGATTTCTGGTTAGCACTGAGGGGCTCCATTACAGCTTTGTGTTCAGGTGAGAGCTGGCTCAGAGCCACGAACAGGTCCCCAGAAGTTCTGGACTTGGTGTGGTGTTCAGTTTCCTGATGGCTTCCCAAGAATGACCATTTCCCCCCTTCCCCACAGGGTGATCTCTGCAATTGTCACCAGTGGAACTGCTTTGGGAAGAGCTTCTTCCTATACCCCAAACTATGCCAAAGCCAAAACATCTGCCGCACGCTTTTTTCAACTGGTTGATCGACATCCTAAAATCAGTGTTTACAGTGAAAAAGGGGAAAAATGGGTAAGAGTGGAGATGTGTAATTTGTGATGTCAGTCAGCTCACTACAGGCATAGATGTTGCACTAGTGATTTAGGAGTCAATGAGGATCAATGCTTTACAAGAAGGCTATGCTGATTGTAAAATTTTTATTTTTCTTTGCTGTTTTGGAAGCAAGCTCTGTACTAGACAGAAAGAGTAGTATAAAGTCAGGCATTAGGAATTTATCAGTGTAAAAGTCCTGTAAATTGGAATGGAACTGATTCAGATGACTCAAAGAACAGCAAGCTCTTATTTCCTGCTTTACATGACAAACCTTACTATTGCTGTTTATAATGGAGGTTTTTCCATTCACATAAAACTGGTGAAGGGTGTTCATAAGGAGGCAAAGAATTGTTGAGTCAGACAAAATGAAAATGCTCAGTTTCTGGTGAATTGGAAAGTCAGACCCAGAATATTGAAATTACTTATTTTATACATAATGTCTATATTAAAATGAAAAATGTGCCCATTTGCAAGGCAATGCCATTTCCAATTTGTGCCTCTGACCAGTGCCATGCAGGGGAGCATAAGCAGAGTAACAGTGTTATGACTAATAGCTTCACCTCTAGGACAGCTAGTCCAGTATGTTTTTTTCCCTTTTCCTGAGATAATTTCATAAGTACAAATGTCAAATTTTAAGCAAAAGATGCAGGAATGGATCTGAAGAAGATTTGTCTTGTACTTTATAATTCAAGGTTGAGCTTGAGCTCACTGTAACATCTTTCTCCTTTTTCTTTTCACCAGGATGATTTCAAGGGAAGCATTGAATTTCTTAACTGTAAATTCACATACCCTTCTCGGCCTGATATTCAGGTCCTGAAAGGACTCTCTGTATCTGTTAAGCCTGGACAGACTTTGGCATTTGTTGGAAGTAGTGGCTGTGGTAAGAGCACCAGTGTCCAACTTCTGGAGCGTTTCTATGACCCTGAGAAAGGAAGTGTGGTAAGCAAAGAAAAAGTAGTTTCTGTGCTCTGGTTTCCAGCAGGGCTCCAAGGGCCTTCTGCCTGAGTCCTACTGTGCAGCCTAGCAGTGGTGGCTCATACATGTGCAGTTGGAGGCTTCCTCTCCTTCTCAAAAGGACAGATGTGGACTATTTGGACAGTTCCCAAGTATTGTCTCAGACATATTCAGACAATATAAGAGAACTACATGCCTCAGGTGCACTCTCATGCATTAGGCATTTGCCTTGGTAGCTTCTGTATGAAACATACAAATGTATGCTGTGAATTGTGAGAGCACAAGCAAAATCAAGTCTGAATGGAGCAACAAAGTGCCTGGAACTTGCCTAGATTTAACTTCCAGTTATTCAATTACTGATAGCTTAGAAAGCTTTTTTGTTTTCCTAACATAAATACTTACCCATCTAGATTGATTTATCTTTCTCTGGAAAAAATCTATGTGGTGATCACTATGTCAGAAAGGCAATAAAGCATATGCCTAAACTTAAGTAATTAAATAGTTCACTAGGACTTCTGTTGAGCAAATGGTCTAGTGTATTTTGTGGTATGGATCAAAGCCATACCACAAAATACACATCATGTACAAAGGTGTCAGAGACAAGCAATTCAACCAATCACTTTAAAACAGTTGTGTTTGTGTTTTAATGACATGGTTAAATAATTAAGTTTTGCGATAAACTATTTGGGTATTGCAAGCTGTTGTTTTGTAATGATGTTTCAAGTTTTCTCCCATTTCCTCATAGTTAATAGATGGACATGACTCTAAGAACGTAAATGTGCAGTTTCTTAGATCAAAAATCGGAATAGTGTCACAGGAGCCTGTGCTATTTGACTGCAGCATTGCTGATAATATCAAATATGGCAGTAACACAAAAGAAGCAACGATGGAAAAAGTCATAGAAGCAGCCCAGAAGGCTCAGCTGCATGATTTTATCATGTCTCTGCCTAACGTAAGTACCTGCAAGGCCTTGGCTGCTCAGTGTTCATTGCAGGAGTTGCTCTGAAACCAGCTGAAGTTGCTACATGCATGCACCTTTTATGTCCTTTTACAGCTGTGACAGTAGGAGCAAGAGGGTGCTGTGACCATTTGTTGTGTTCCTTAGAGTCTGGGTGTGAGTTACTATGGAATTCTTACACAGCAGGCAAATACATAAATCCTGTTCGTAGCTGTGGGAGATTTGCCTTGTGAGTAGGACACGATACTTCGACAAAAATATTTGAGGGTGGCTGCTTGTGTACACTTGAGAATTATTTAAATGCACTAAAATAATACGAATATAAAAAGAACATATAAGGTATGGATACAATCTAGGCACCCAAACAAAGCACTTTTCTAGAAAGCTCTTAAATCACTTTCAGCCTCTTCTCCTAAATCTAGGGCAGGGAGAATTCTTTTTGCCTCAGACAAATAGCCAACATTTTGCTATCACATTTTCCTTCCAGGCTCATTATTGTGCTGCCTGGGCCTCAGGGCTACGTGCAAACAAAGCATAGCTTGGAAACCTCACCTCAAACATGTTTGCTGCTGTAGATTGTTTCTGCATTCCCAGGTTCTGCAAGTGGTCAGCAGTGGTTGACTTTCTTTCCTCTCTCCTGCTTTTCCTTTAGCTGTCTACTGGTGTGTTAAATTACACCTGAATAAAATACTCCTTTTGTATATTTTTCAGAAATATGAAACCAATGTTGGGGCTCAGGGATCCCAGCTGTCTCGTGGGCAAAAGCAACGCATTGCCATAGCAAGGGCCATCATACGAGACCCTAAAATTTTATTACTGGATGAAGCTACATCTGCCTTAGACACGGAAAGTGAAAAGGTAAATGCACAGTGATAATCAATAAGGGAAAGTTAACACAATGGCCTACAACATACAATACCTTTTCTGTTTTATAGAGATGCCTACATACTCTGCTGCATGATTGCACATTATTCCACAATGTGAATTCAGCACTTTCACCTTTAATGATCTTTCCAAGAAGTGCAGGAGGAACAGCTGTAAGAAAATGCAGCCAGCCCCAAATGCTCTTAAACTAGCACTTCTTCAGAAATGTCTTAATTGCCTGGATTTCAAAGCATTCAGTTGACATTTAGTATGGCAGCAGAGTAAAGGCCTTCCTTAATTTCTACCTCTATGTTTAGCTGTCCCTTGTTTGTACTACTGGTAAACAGAGTGCATGACCCAGCTAAGCACATCAATATCAGAACCTCTGATTTAGTCTCTGTCCCTTTTACAAGTCTTACACAATATGATTAATTAATCTAAAGCAATTGGGTTCCTCTGGCTCTGAGCTCTGTTGTATTTGCACATTTTTATTCTGACACTTTGTCTGTTGCCTTTAGACTGTGCAGGCAGCACTTGATAAAGCCAGAGAAGGGCGCACCTGCATCGTCATTGCCCACCGCTTGTCCACCATCCAGAATGCTGACATCATTGCTGTAATGTCACAGGGACTCATCATTGAAAGGGGCACTCATGATGAACTGATGGCTATGGAAGGAGCCTACTGGAAGCTTGTTACTACTGGAGCCCCAATTAGCTGAATTACTGTGATTCTAACTTTGTAAGATTTCTGTAAGCAAATACTTTGTGGTAGGTACATGTATGTTGGTGCTCCATTGCACTACAGAGTGAGTGCTCTACAATACAGTGAGATCTGTAGAACACTGAATGCATGTAGCTGTCTGCATCAAGCACACTTGTCCAGCACATGCAAGGCACTAAGCACAGGCTGATGCATTCAGGAAGTATCTTAGCCCACTGATAAGGGAAAAAAAGCCTGAAACTGGGAAAGATCTTTCCTGGTGATCTGGGGAGTTGCCAATACCTGCAGTCAGACTGCACAGTTCTGTCATGCCTCAACTAGTGATCAAGGAAGACACTGGTGTTCAGGAAACTGCCCTTTCTCTAGGTAAGCTAAATGAATGAAAACAACTCCTCAAATTATGTTGTACATCTGAAGGGGTCAAATCTGTCCTAACGTTTGGTCTGCAGACGATTTCAGCATAGGCCTTTCCTGTGCATGCAGAAGCCCCACTCTTTCACCCACTGTACCACACACGTCAGTGGTGCTGTTGGGGGAGGCTGGGCTTCCCCTGTGTGCACCTGCAGCACTGACACAGCTGTGCCCCTTCAACAAACGGTCAGAACTTACAAAGAAGGCAGCTTCACTAAAGTAAGGAAAGCAACCAAGGTAAGGAACAGAAGCTGGTGAGCATAATTTCCTAGCCCACCACTCTCCACCTAACACTTATCATTCTAATCAGCTGTCAAAAATATTTTTGAATAGGAATAAATGCCTTGGTTAAATTAATGTAAAATTCTATGGTTAATCATCAGTTATTTAAACCACTTCTACTGAAATGGTAATGGATATGTTCTTTTCTTCAGAAGGTAATACAATCATGAGTGAAAGTGGAAAAAATAGGCATAATTAGTTCTTTGTATTAAATACAGTTGATAAACAGAGTAACAATATATTCAGAAACAACAAAGGTCAGGAAGGAGCTTCTTTTGGGAGAAACTTGTATCTGTTACAGTTTACTGTAGCATCTACCAGAAGTTGCATTGAAATATGTTATTTTTTATTGTCTGCAGCAGAACAGGACTGTTTCCTTTAGTGACTAGGATCTTGGAGAAAAGCAGATAGAAAGAAAGTATAGATTACAGTTTCAATATTTAAATATTGATATTAAACAACAGTGTATCAACTGGAAATGTTATTCTCCATGTCCTAAAATCTGCATCTGGGCTGGGTGGGTAAGTCACACCGCTTCTTATAAAATACTGCAACAGTAGCAGTACATAAATAGAGCTGTAAGTGTAAACAGCTTATTAGGATACATCCCTTAATTCCAGGCAGCAAAATCCAATTTCAACTTTTCTACAACTCCATTAACAGAATCACTGCCACATACCCTGCTGAAATCACACAGCCAGCACTGAAATGGCTATCTCTCTAAGAAAGTCTGTATTTTAAACCTTAACGGAAAAGTAAAAGCTGCATTATTTGCTTTAATCTTTTTAATCTTTTAAGCACTAAGTAGTTTGATGGCTCAGGAAACTATTGGCAGACTGACTATCAATAACCTGCACACATGTGTATGTGATATTTAATTAATATTATTATTTAAGGCCACAGAAAAAGAATTACTCTTCATTAAAAATTACAATGACTATGTAAACTTATTTCATAATTCTTTTTCATAAAGGGCAATAACTTTGTAACCAAATTAAATCAATAAATTGTATTTTTTTAATGACTTTTGTGCTCTAGCACTTCTTCTCTTACCCTTCAGCCAAGCACATGAGTATGTGGCAGCAGACAGGAAGTATCATGTCTGTGACAAGGTGTTACAGTGAGCTCATGGGCATTCTGCCCCCCCTTCCCCGGGACCCTGTGACTCTGATCAGGATAACCCCTGGAGCCCTCCTTCCTGCCCCAATGGGGTTGGCGGAGAGCCAGGAAAGACCACCCTGTCCAAAACCTATATAGACCCCCTGACATTTCCTGTTCTCTCTCTTTTGCCCCGCTCTCCACATGGACATCACAGAATAAAGAGAGCTGTACCAACATACCCTGGGGTGAGAGCCTCTTTTGAATATCTTCCCCCTCTCCTGATATTCCTCCCCTCACAGCCCCTTATCTCTGAGCTAGTCGGATTATTCAGGGGGCTGCGTGAGGGGGGGAAACTACAACGAGGGTTTGCTGTTCAGGATGGAGCTGCTGAGAAGGCCAACTCCTGCCTGTGCAGGGCTCTGCTGTCTGCCTGCAGGAGCACAGGGCCACAGCCCAAGCTGGGTGATTGTGCTGCTGCTCTTCAGTGTAACAGTATCCTCTTTCCAGGCAGCTGGGAAACACAGAGAGAGAAATTTTGGGCAGGGTGCTACTCTAACAGAATGCACTCACTGTGTATTGGATACCGCGTCCTGCCATGTTGTTCCTATGTGCTGTTGAAAAACCTCTGGTACCTGGGCAAAGGGATTGCATTGCAGGTGGCACTACATGGGGCGTGGGCATGAGCAGCAAGCCTGGATGGAATGCTCAGTGCAGAGCTGGACTGGTCTTGCTGCTGCAGCTGCCTCAGTGGTAAAAGGTCCCAGCCCTGGGTCTTGGTGACAATATTCCCGAACCATTCCCAAGTCATTTGCTTACATCTTTTAAGCCAGACCCAAGTTATTACTCTTGACAGTAGACAGTGTGATTTGGTGTCTCCTGCTGTATGCTTCTCTGTATGGTCCACAGCAGCTGCATTTTCCAACACCCTATTCCTCTAGGCAGCTATAACCATGATATGGTTTTGGGATAGCACCTGAGTAACTGCTCTGTTGTACTGCTGTAAAAAATACAGCTCCTGCTCCAACTAGACTGCTCTGGGTAGGAGTGTGTCTGGGCCCAGAGTCCCTCCACCAGGAAGGCTAAACAGGGAATGGGGAGGATAAAAAGAAAAGCTGCATAGTAGCAAGAGTGTTGTGAACTGAATGTAATGACAACTTGTCAGCTAGTTTGTATGAGAAGCAAGGGACAGCTTCACTTCATATAACTCTTGCCTCATGAGATCTTTCTGCAGAGAGGTGGAAGTACTTTTGAAATAGCATTTTCCCAATACTATTATGAGCATCTCTAAGTCAGGAATTATTTGGCATCTGTAAGTCAAGAACAAAAGGTTAAATTTCTCCTGGGATCCAACTAGTGGGAGCAAGGGGATCAGTCCTACACTTTCCACTCTCTTTATTAACAGGAAAACCTTAATTCAAAAGGTTTGTGGCTCAAACTAAGCTGAGTCACTAGCTCATCCTGCAAGCGTATACGTGCTGTATCTGTTCCAAATATTAACAATTCAAAAACCTGCAAAGGCCTGGTGGAATTACAGCTTAAACGTTTAACAATTTGAGCTCTTAGTAAGGTCACACAGTCTATTTAAATAAGGTATGGACTAAAATTTTTGACTGCAATAAATTTACTGAAGCCTGAGTAAGGGACATGCAGGTTGATTTCACTGCAACAACAGGCTCCTGATTTTCAATTCTAATTCTTTCAAAATATCACAATTACCTTGATGCTATTCCCCATCTCTTGAAAATGCTAATTCTGTTTGAGGATTCAGGAGCTCTCTTTGGAGATTCTGCAAGCACTTACACAAATCTCCATACCACAACACAGCTGCTTAGAAAGCATCCTATAGCCATTGCATTATCAGTCAGTTAATTTCTAAAGTTACTAGCAACATTACACTAAATTTATTCATTTTATATTATTCATATTAATATCACCATTATTTGATTTAATAATGTTTTAATAGTCGAAGAAAAATTAAGAGGTGGTTCAGACAGGAAGATGTTCTATGTCCTTTTCCCTGAAGCACTGAAATTACATCATGAACTAAGAGGACACTCCAAGAAAGTGACTGAGAGCTCAGATCTTCCTACATGTCTTTACAGAGCTTAGAAGAATACTGCAGAATGCCAGTTGTCATTCTACATTTATGGTTGTGTCTACCCCAACAGAAGCACCAAGATTCTTTGTCAGTGTTGGGAAACAGAGACTCTCACATGATTAGAAGCCTAGAAATGTAATCTCTACCCATAACTCCCAGGTTAAAACTGCCACTAAATGCAAATGCTGCTGTGAGAACTTTGCACAGTTGGGCATGAAGAATTCCCTACCGTTGGCTAGGAGGAGCCAGGAACAGAACAACAACTCAATCAACCTTCTACTGCTCTTCAATGCCGCTGTAGGTCGTCTCACTAGTAGGGAATAACAAAGCACACAGTGACTTGAACACAGACAAAATCTTTGTCATAGCTGTCTTTGTTCTTCATTGTTTGTGTCTAGACCCATGAATTTAGTGATTTTGTTTACGGAGCCACAATTATAGAAAAGACTGGTTACAGGTCAGCTGCTGTAGGAAAAAGTTCAGAGAACTGTTAGAGAAGATATCAGGAGATGCACAAAGCAGAATACTCCTCAGACTTAAAAGTAGATTACTAATTTTCTTAAGTCATGGTAGTCTTACTAGGCTCTTAATTAAGGATGCCTGTTTCAGATTTGCTTCTGTAATTTTTATCTTGTTCATTCCCAAAGGCCAACATCTAACTATTCATCTTGTTTACCCAATTAAATAAGATTCTTTCAATTACCTCCTACCTAATTGGAAGTCTAGAAGCAATATCATGTTTACATCTTCTAAGCCTTATTGCTTTCAGATCATAGATATGCACCCTCATTCCTCATATTATAGCCAGGCATACTAAGACTATATATATATATATATATATATATATATATATATATATATATATGTATGTATGTATGTATGTATATATATATATATATGTATGTATGTATGTACATGTATATATGTGTGTATATATGTATCTATATACACATATGTAGAGAGAGGCAGAGAAAGAGAGTTTTATAGGATGATATCAGCAAAATACTGCTTAAAGATTGTGCACTGAAAGGGAATATACAATAATAGATGCCAAATAATGAAGAAAATGGAAAGTACCCCTTTAGAAAATCCATTTTATATAAGAAACCTATATTCAACATATTAGTTACTTGTGTCCTTAGTTAAACAAAGAATAGAAACTTGAAGTGACAGTCTGCAACCATATTTTCATGATTTACACAACTACTAACAATGATTCAGGCTTGTGACTGTGGATCTGAGAGAACTAGCAGGGAATTACCTTTGTAATACAGGAGCATGAACAACATCCTTGAGGTCATATACTGAGATAATTTAATTATTGACAACTTTTTTCATTTGTTGCTCTGTGTAGATGTACAGAAACCAAAGATTTTTTACACCATATTTAAGCATTTTCTATATCGAACGTGTGATCTGTAACATTCATGATTCATGTGAACACTTTCAGAAAGTAAAAATAACAAAAACCACACAGTAATGCAAAAATATATTCTACAGAGTCCAATGGAAATAAACTTTTTTTTTTATCATCTGACTTAATCAGAAGCTGGTTTGCTCAGGAAGCTCAATAAATTAAATATAAAGCCTTGTTTATAACTATGCTGGCCTTTTTCACAGTGTCTGGATACAGCCGTACAGTAAGTGGAGTGATAATGTCACACCATTATGTAGCATTATAACACACAGTATCTATTTATAAAAAAATGAAATATTGAGTATCACTATGTACAACTCATGCTTGAAGCCTTATCTAGCTAGAGATGGGCAGAACTAAAATACCACCATATAGCTAAATAAAGATGGTTGGTTATACTTTAAAACTTCATTATGACCCAGAGTATTGGGTCATTTCTAACCATACTGCAGTGCGCTTGCAATATTTCTAGGAATAAAATCAGCAACTAATATTTCTCAGCTGCTTGAGTGTACTGATTTTGGATGTACTGGTTACTTACCAGGAATACATCAAATATGCAATGACAACCTCTTGTTTTAAATGAATTAGCAAAACTGCCTTTGCAGAGGGTTCTCAAACAGTTCACATCCATCCCCACATTGCTAACCATTTTGAAACTTCACCTAATTCAGTTTCTTTTCAGTTGTCCTCATTAATGAGTGGACACAGTATGGAACCAAGGCAACTACAGTCAGAGGCATAGCTGCACTCTTACAAAAAGAGAGAATGTAGAACAAATACTCAGTATGAGTAGGTATCTTAACAAAATTATACAGCTGCAGGGTAGCTAAAGAAGCAGCTACACACAATATGCGGAAACTTATCTTGCAGCTATTTTTACCTTTGCAGCTCGTGATGAACATTTCAGAATTAATTCCAAGACCTAAACCAAAGAGTGCACCTAAATTCCTCACCAGTCCAGCAAATGGAGTTGTGTCAATGTTTATCCAGTCTGGGTTGGCACACCACTTCTTGGCCTTTGGAACAGACCATAGCAAGTCAATATCAAGAAGCTTGAGGGATAGATAAAAGCCAAGGGCAAAGATGAAAAGAAACAAATTTGTCTTGATGTACATTCTCAAGCTTGCTGTCTGAATAGCAGGGGTATGCTCAAATGCTTCTGCCACAAGAATGCCTGTGGATTAGAAACTCAGTGTTAGAGAGAACAACACACTTGTACTTTGAAGAAGTATTTTCTACAGTGACTTTTAAAGACAGAAGAATATGTAATAAATATCTACGTGTGTGTCTATATCTATATATATATATTTTTATATAGTTATATATTTATATATATACATATACACTCACAATTTACCACTTTTGCAGTACATTACAAAACCTTTCCTCCCACTCAAAACTGCCACTTTGGAAAAAAAAAAAATACCAAGCACTACATGGTTTTGATATGAGGCATACCTTAAGGCCTGACTGCATCTCCCAGATGACAACCTATCAAATATTAGATGTAAACTGGAACATTCCTTTTCCAAAAGAGTCCCTCACTCAAAGACTGGCTCCAGCAATGCAGAATTCAACACCAGTTCCCACACAGGCTTTGAGTGTTGAAGGAAAAGACACAGAACACACTTATCTTCTCTTGTACTCATTTTATCCTGGTTGTGAAGAGGGAAAGCTGTTAACCAGCGCTGCCCAGGTGCACTGCATCCATGAAAGAGAACATGAGCAGGAAGCCCCTGCTAAATGCACTGGTCACCCTCCTTAAAATCAGATAGATACCAGACATACTGCTTATAGTTTGGACTCCCTGAATACCAGTTAAAATGTACTTAAGCATCTTAAATCACCCAGGGGAGTTTGTCCTGCTATTTACAATTTTTTTCCATTTTGTCCCAGGTCTCTGTGTTTGTCCACATTACACACATGCTATTTTGCAACTAGACACCATTTGAAGCGACCCAAATAGCTTCCTCCTCTGAGGAAAGGTCAGAGCCATGTAGGAGCAACTTCCTCTCTGATCTCCTCCACACAGGTAACACAGTTAAAGATCAGATGCAGTCAGTACAAAGCAGTCAGAGGTAGTCTGAGGCAGTGTGGACACAATAAAGTCAGCATCAACTGGCAGGTGGACAAGGGCTCACTCCCGTCACTGTGAATTACATAGGCAGCAGGCACATTCTACCTCAGAAATTTTACCTTTGGACTATTATCAAATCCCAGACTTTCCAGAGAGTGGAGAGCACCACTGGGCTGAAAGACAAGTCCAACTACTAAAAATCTCTTATCTAATATTTTTAAAATATTGCATATAGGTTAAAAAGGAAAGAAAAAATAGCAGCATTACCAGCAAATACTCCAAGAACAACTTGATGAGGGAAATGTGTTGCTATGAATACTCTTGAGATGCACACACTGATCTGGATAATCCAAAAAATACTCCATAGGAATGACCATGTTAGTCTAAGAGGTAAAAGGAAGATGCTTAAAAATTAAGACAAGATATTTCATCTACTTATTTATCCCAAGACCCATCATGTAAGGCTCATGCTTTTACCAGCAGAGGTTTTACTAAGTAGAGTAGTTTAGAATCAGATCATTAAAAACTAGAAGTCAGTACTAAAACTTTATCAAGAGCGGTTCCATGAATAGATCTCAGAAGTTTCAGGTCCAAGACACCTCTGCAGTTTAAGTGATGAAAGCCATCAATGGCAGATTAAATTAGGACTAATACCTTAAACATATCTCTCATTGTGAAGTCATAGCTATATGCAACTCAATTATTGCTATATGCAAAACTCAAGTATTTCATGACAAAATTCACACAGTGTGAAAACAACCTTACAGCCTTAGAAAGAACAGCCACCAAAGCAATTGCAGGACTTTCCCACAGAGCTGAGCAACACATTACAGTGAATTTTGTCAACATTATGTGCATTTCCTTTAAAATGGGTGAAGGATGACTACCAAAGCAGTACATTCATGTACTAACCAAAAAAATCCAACACATAGTGACAATTACAGAATTAAAAATTTCCAGCACTTAAGATTTAGGACTGATTCAGAGATGTTGTATGCAATGTCTGCAAATAAATACGAGACTATACAAACAGATAAATCCTCTTAATATACTTTTTCTTCAGTTGAAGTAGATAATAATAAAGTGTTGTTGGTTTTTACACAAAACACACAAACTGTGAATATTTCTTTTAAATTAAGTCCATTAAAAACATAGCATGTATTTAAAGAAATATCTGAATATAATGAGTTGGAATCATGGAAAGACACTGACCTGTGAAGGGTAACAGCTGATTTATCTTTCCACCTAACAGTGTAGCCAAGTGCTGCTGTGACCATTACATACCAGACACAGGATGATCCCATGGCATGTCCAGATGGGCTTCCTAGTAAAAACAAAAAGGAAATATTCAACTCAAGAATGAAGACTGTGACATCTGTCATACAGAAAATGTCTACTGGTATTACTCAGGCACCTAATAATTTAGAAGGGAAATGGCTAACAAAGGCTGAAAGAATGTGAATGACTTCCCAAAAGTTAATTTTGCCACGTGAATTTTTCAGAAGGTCCACCTATAGGGAATCCATAATACTTGTCTAAAACAGAAAAGGTAATAGCTTACTCATTTTATATTGCTGTAAGTTGGAACCTTGAAAGGAAAGTTTATTATTTTCCCATTACTTGGATTTAAAAATTTAAAAAATCACCTAGGGCTGTTGTAGAGCTGTAGCATGGAATGTAGAAATTATGTATGAGGATCACATAAAAAAAGTTTTGAATGAACCTCCCCATGATTAACAGGAGCAACAGAAATTTAGCTCTTTGTAACATTCTAAACTAAAGTACCAGTATAACTTTAGATTGCACTTCTGAGCTGCTTTTTATCTTATATTGCTTCTGCAATTACCATGGTGTTAACAATTGTGAGCTGTGTCTCATTAGCAATATTACAATGCAGGTAATTAACATTTTGAGTAGTTTTGTAATAATTTTAGAAATGTATCTGAAGCATGGAAAAAATGTGTCTTTATGCTTTACTTTGAGAAATTTTATAAATTTTAAGGTGCTGTAAAATACCAACCAGATTAAAAGCAGATTGTTAATGAAACTGGCACATGATATGATGCTCTAATTGCTGTACCCACAAGTACAGCACACAGTAGTCTACCTACAGCAGTCTATAACAGGGAACACTCTCTCATATAGAGAACAGTGATTTCTTTTTAGTCCAAGTTAGAATAATATATCTGTCACTTGTTTTAATTAAAAAAGTAAAATTTTAATTTTACTGGAAGCAATATGAAGCTACAGAGTAATTCCTACAACTGTGAAAATCACCATAAAACAAGGTATGCTGGCATGATGCAAGGGAAGTGATTCCTAAAATCACTCTGTCACTTCCTTTCTCATGTTCACCAGATTTACATTCAACAAATCAAAATAGGGAAGAAAAAATTAGATCATTGGAATCTGTAAATCTGGAACCTTTACATCTTGGCTTTCTGTGGAGACAAAAAAGAAGGAACAGGGTTATTTCACTATCAGAAGACATAATTTTGGCTCAAGAATGTGATATGAGCCAGCACTATCTAGTAGTGCACAGAGTAAAAGAATATTTCAGTGAAGTAGTAAAGCAAACATCTAGGCAGAACAAGCACAATGATTTCTGACTCCCTGCATTCATTTTTGCTGTTCTGCTTGGCAGTACATTTAGAGTCACTCTATCAGCTCCTTTGTTAATTTCCTATCAGATGTACACTCCTAAACGTCACAGTGGAACAAATGTCACTGCAGTAACGTTGTATGTCAGCAGTGGAAAAGCTTCTCGTTGTTGCCATCTAGGAAAATGTCACCTAGGAATAGTATTTCATAGTTTATCTGCAAATTACCTACTTGAAATAGCATAAATTCCACCTTAAGATTTATATTCTTAAAGTTTTACAAATACCAGAAAACAAATGGCTGCCAGGTTTTAGTTCCGTTAATTCCAGAAGTACAAACCAAATTCAGGTCCTAAACTGTTTGCTATGTAGTCACATGAACAGTTCCCTCAGCTTCCCTTTTGCTGAGACATGGAGTTTGGGGTTCAGCCTATCCTAGCAGTATTTGGATCTGCTTTTCTCATGTCTATGGCTGCTTCTCTAAAAATTGCTATTTTCAAAGTGTGTGAAGTACCACGTAAGCTCATACAATGACTGTATGCACATAACACCAGCACTGACTGCACCTCCTCTTGCTAATGAGAAACAGCTCAGTGCCACTCTTAATGGTCCAGCATAAGTCTCAAAGTCATTATAAGTGCAAAGAAGGAATCAATATGACAGTTGTACCCACTGGACAGAAATAGGAATGACCTTTCAGAAAGACGGTGACAAGGAGAAATGCCTTCTAGTTCAATGAATCAAAATGAAACACACTGACTGTCTCCTGAGCCAGGGCTCGGATCTACACAGCACTGAATGGGCTCAGTTCTAAAGGCTTTTGATAAGATCTGAAGGACTTCAATATTTTGTGTTAAGTCCCAAATGAAGAAACTTGAAAGAGACTGCAGATTACATAAAGACCAGGCATTATTAAAACGTGCCTCATACAAGGGCTTAAGCTACTTTTTCAGTTAAAATAGGATGTAATGCAGGGTACTATTAATATAATTCAGCTATGTAAACTACTTAAAAGCTTTCAGTGGCATTGACAAGATGCAAAGCACATAATTTCCAGTCAGTATTTTCTTGCACAATAAATTAAACTAAATTCAGTTAGCTCAATGCAAGTTCATCTTATTGCACATAATTAGGGTTGCACAAGTTCATTTAGCTTCGTAAATATTGCATTTGATTTCCACAGAGAAGATAAGAAGACATAAAAAGTGAAAATATATTGAAAAGGTACATTTAAAAAATAATTTTTCCCCATATATTTATACACATACTCCCACACACACACATTCAATGGCAGTGTCTGGTTCTGGTTCTTTTCCACTTGTGATACATTATGTAACCACTTGCTGAGACTATTGTCATTTACCCTGAACCATCTACTTAGTTTATGGGGTTTGAATATTTGTTGCAACAGCAAACATGCCCTCAAACTCAACAGCCCTGGGCTTTGAAACACATGAAAAAATATATTTCACAAATTTTGTTAAAATTTCTTTTCAATATGCCAGTTCATATTCTAGTAGTAGTTATCTTTAAGGCAAGTCCTCCCCCCTTGCATCTTTTAAAGGCAATGAAGGAAATACTCTTGTCATACAGCAAATATCTATTGTATTTATTCCTTTTCCTCTACTTGTTTTGGTGTTCTATTTTATACATAAGCTCTGAGATTTCTGTATCATATAAGACCTTCCTAAGTCCCATTCTCTCCCCCTTGAAGCAGTTATCCCTATCAAATGCACAAGGAAATCTCCAACATTTCTTACCTGGTCCAGTTTCACATGTTATAGGAAACTGTTCAAGGCATGGGCTTGACTGATTAGGATAAATCATTGTTTCTTGCACCCACCAGTAAGGGCGATGGCCAAATAAAATCCTGACCCAAAAAAAAAAAAAAAAAAAAAAATTATATGAAAATATTTTTACTTAAGGAGGCCTCAGCAAAGCATAATTAATAAGCATACAAAGAATATGAAGAAGAGTTATATTTGCAAAGCTATTCTGTAATAGTTCTACAGGTTCTTCTCATCTTATTACAATGTTATTTCAAATATCTTAAATATCTTAATTCTGAATTCCTATTTCATAATTACCAGGGAAAATCTACTAATATATTATTCACAGAAAGTTTTCTGAACTTGAGGTACATATAGTAACTATTATTAAAAATACCAAATTGTAAAACAAATTCAACTTCTTACCATTTAAATATGAGGTTGAACCAATCACCAATGACAGCCACCCATATCATTTTAGTACCAACCACTTGGTTGAGCTGAAACCAAAGAGGAAAATAAATTGAAAATATATTCCGAGGATCACCAACATATGACATAAAATTAAGGAAATCCTGGTAAGCCCTGTAGTCCCTCTGTAAATGCTGAATGATAAGCACTCCATTGCTGTGAAGGAGATCCATATTAATGGATTAAACTGTATTTGAAATATAGTAAAGTTCCTTTAATCTTAAGTTTCTAGTGACAGAGAATGAGAATCATGGAGGGGAGCTATTAAAAAGTGAGAGAAGGTGATTGACGTTGCCTTTATATTATATTGGCGTGGTGTACCCAGCCATTCCCAAAACACGTGGCTCCACATCTCTGGGAAAGCATATGAGTCTCTTAGCACTGAAAAGCTTTTTTGTTTGCAAATTTTAATTGTAGGAAGCTAAGTGAAGTACATGCTGAGCAGCAGCAAATTGTGGGGAAAGTTTTGTGGAAACAAAATGTGTGACTTGTGCAATCCTTTGTAGGAACAGTTGGAACATGTTTGCTTAAACTTTTTCACAGTTCATTTCTCAGCAGGATGGACATCTTCCTAATGTTTGTACTTCATTAAGTGTTGCCTGTATAAAGCATAGAAAGAATACACAAATTACTGATCTTCACAGAACTGTCACTGAAACTGTACATTTCATTTTGAAACAGAACTTGGCTCTAACTAATACTTTGCACAACACATTTTTTCAGTCAGGGAAAATGCAACCAGTATCCATATATGAACCATGCTGTTGAGCTCTAGATTTATATTTAAAGCAACAATATTCTTAAAATACTGAAAAACAATTGTTTCCTTCCTATAAGAGGCCTGTTAACCCAGGGCCCAAAGCAGATGACGCTCAGCCTCTGAGTCATGTTTCGGTATGGGCATGGGCATTGCTTACATGAGGCCAGTCCTGTGCCCCTCCGCCTGCAGGAGCTGCAGCCCCCCCTTTCTTGCTGCCCAGCCTGACAGAAATGGGACCTGCTGTACAAACCACAGCAAGCTTGGGAGCAGATAATCAGGAGAATTTCCCTGAACTATTCCAAAGTGAAGCACAGCAGTTCTCCAGAGCCAACTGGAGCAGATTCTGCCACACAGCAGGAGTTTAAAAGATTACAGCAGACAATATATTGGCATATCAGATTTATCAATATTAGTACTAATAACTAGTATATCATGTTCATTTGAGGTGGCTTCATGAAAATAACTTTTTCTACAAGAGATTAAATGGATACTAAAAGCCTGATGATACCAACTTCTGATATCATCAGAGGAAAACTTTAAGCTCTTTATCAGGCTCTAATATTCTGATGAATTCATATCTTATATCAAGTTATTATCTGTGTATCTGAAACAATGTGAGTTAGAAGACAAAAGCAGCTCTATATATAGACTGCACACTTCCCAAAAACTCTTTCCATGCACTTCAAGCTAAACTGCACGAGCTGTGGAGGCAAAGATATGAACTACTTAACTGTTTTTGCTGAAGAGGGGCTTAATGGCTTAAGAGAGCTTCATGATGTGTGATCAGGGAAATCACATGGAAACATTAAGTAGATTCAACAAATAAGGCATGACAATTAAATGGACGTAGAAGATTTCTCTTCCTGGCACAATCTCACATTTACTTTAACTGCTCCCATTTACTTTAGCTAATAATAGTCTGATTTCAGACATTTTTTAGCACATTTAAATCCTACATGTTTATTGCTTCCAATTGCATTAGCCATATAGAAAACTTTAAAGTTAACTTTAAAACTTTAAAGTTTCTATGCGATGCTTCTCAATAACTACAATATTTCTCCATATACTGACCAAATTATTCACTTTAACTAGTGTTATCTGATTTCAAGGGAAACCCTTCCAAATTCAAAATTTCAGGATATTTCAACAAAAAATATTTCCTAGATTTTTAAACTGAAAATATTTGAGGACATTTGTTTCTTGCTAAGTTGTATACCTTTACTGTTTTCAGAATGTGCAGCAAGGCAACTGTCATAGAAATGAACGGATGGAATGAATTTTCTCTCTCCCAGTACTTCCCCAAGATCATACTTGTTTTAAAATCTCTCTCTAATAACTCTTTGTACCTTATTGCTAAAGAAAATGTTCTTTTGCTACATTTTTAACTGCAAAAGTATCTTGTCTTTAAAGATAAGCAACACAATATAACAATAAAAAAACCTACTCTTTTAGACATGTCTGGGTGTAGTATGCAGACATGTAGAAAATCTGAGGTCTTCTGTTTTCCAATCTAATTTAGCAAGAACAGTTAGCTCTAAACATGAGTGCAAACGTCAAGTCAGTTGGCAACTGAATAACAGACATCTTACTTCTAGTACTTGGTTAAAAAAGCAACAATTATAATGAGGTTAAGTAGAAATAACTATTTTTCTATTAGGAAAAAATATTTTGCAGTACCTAAGTTTCCATCAAGATACAATTTAATGTCTTCAGGAGAGTCTACCAAGTAATAAAATAGGTCATTTTACAGTCTCTCTTTAATGGCACCACTCTTAGTCAGTGGTATCTGAAAAATTGCCTCTGACATAGGATGTGCAAAGGCATTGTAATAATTGCAATAACTTTTTGGGTGTTTGCTTTATTTATAAATTCAAACCCACTCATCCATATTATCTATGCACTAGGACAGTGATGCATCTGCTTAGGCCGAACTAGTCTTCAGATAGAACTCCTCAGGCACACTTTGGCTCTCCAGAAACTTTGTAAATTTAGTGTTTGAAGATGTATCTTGGCAATGTTTCAGTAAAGTAACCTCTTTTAGTATAAATGCTGAAGACCTCTTGATATTATCTTTCAGGATTTTGCTGCTGATTCTTATGCTTAGATAGAGAAAGATAAGCACCTTTGACGTAATAAAGACTAACAGCAAGAGAAAAGGCTTTCATTTTCTCCTACATCCTCACCTTAGAGAGGAGGAGGATATTTATATATATATATATATATATATTTATATATATACATATATATATATATTTTTATATATATATATATATATATATATATACCAGAGGAGTCATATTTATAAAGGATGTTTAAAAAACCTCAACAAATCCACAATTTACAAAACAGATACCATGGAAGTTCTGGAACAGGTATGTGGTTTCTGTTGGAGAGGCAGGTCTCACTGTGCCTGGAATCAGTCATGATCCTGCTCCATCCAAGAGAAAATCAGTAACTGACATAATCTCTTGTCCTGCCTGTCATATTACACAATCAATAAATGTCTGAGACACTAAAGACCTTCCAAGCTGTAATAACCAACAAAGATGGTGAAACATTACTTGAAATACTATATTTAATAACTTGTTTGACAAAGGAAAATCACTTCCTCAATAGACTTTCCCCCACTCCTCTATGCAAAGCACTGCAAAAAACTTCTGTAATCCCCCTAGTGCTTTAAAGACACTCGAGATAATACATGAAATAAAACTATTTGCTGTCCTTTAGTGTGGGGAATTGCAGGGAAACCTAATAATCTATACAAAATGGTCAGAAAATGTAAGCAAGTTTTTACATTGAAGCTTTCTCTTATTTTGATATTGGAGAGTCAAGGTTTGGCCTTCACATAAATAATTTCTTAGTTCAAAGCAAAAACCTTTCAAATGCTATGTGTTCATATATTTTTTAAATTTATTGATAATTTATTGATTTACTGTGTCTTCCAAGACAAACAAAACCGAAGACTTCATATATACATATGTGTGTGTGTATATATATATAAACACACACACATAAAATGTAAAAGCAAGAGTCATGCTGATGATCCACTGAAGGGAGGATAAAATGTTTACAGCTGCCTTGCACCTACGTATAAGAGCAAATATTACATAACAGTCAACAGATGCTTTTAAGTAAATGTTTGCAAGGCATGGAAAAATGACCAAAGCAAACATTTTTTGAAACACTGTTAATGGAGGCCTATGTAATGAGCCTAACTTTCTGGTACATTATGCTTAGTTAATTGAACAATAACATGAATTTCCACACCAGTATTTCCATTGACACTGGAACAACTACAAGGATTAACAAGCAATTTACTAAGTTCACCACAGACATTGTATACAACAGCTGACACGTATTTTCTCAGGTGGGAATGTTTTCCAAGTGGAACACTGAGAAGATACACCTTAATTTTTTAATTAGGAAGAGAAGAATATTTCAAGAAGCTTGTACTCTCTCTCTCTCATTTTTTACTTTCTTTCTTATCCCATGTCCTCAAGCATTCCTCATTGGACCCAGGCTTTTTTAGGGTTGGGTTGACCAATAGAGGTTTAGCAATAGTTAACATGACCCAGTCTTCTTCTCTTCATTCTGCCACCTTAATCTGATCTTTCCTAGTTAGTACAGTCATTACACTTTGCTATAAAGTTAACTATGCAAGCACACAAAGCCAACAAAACTAATCTGTGCACTGTAACAATAACCAGACCTGCCAGACCTTAATATTTGTTTACACTAGTAATGTAAATTAGTAATGTAATTACATTACATTGTGTTTATAAGTGCAAACCATGCATGGAATACAAATCTGGCATGTTTATGAAAAAGTCACATCTAAGGAATTTTACTTATTTTCACTATGAAGAACTGCCTTTTAGAAATTAGAAGCAACTTTGGATAAAATTCCTTCAAGTTCCATGAACTGCAGGCAGAAATGGAACTGAACCCATCAGGGCAACAATCTTCAACCCATTTATTCAATTCCCTTTCCAATAAGATTGTTGTCTGTAATTTTCTAATCCCTGAAACTAGCCTGCTCTAATTCTTAAAACTAGTCCTATGCCAACCATAGCCCAGGGACTCAGAAACCTGCCACAAGAAGTAGTGGAGTCAGTTCATTAGTACCAGCTTGTCAATTTTGTGCTCTTTTAGAATGTCCTCATCAGCTGCAGTAGCTCTCCAACCCTGAGCTAGACTTTTCAGCTGCCTTTTAACCCAGCACTCAACTGGCCAGGACTGACATTCTGTCACCAATAAAATACAGCAGCAGATTTTTGTTGGCAACATTCTGCCCCACAGTTTGACTGCAGGGAACTGTCACCCTGCGGCTGCTGCTGTGCCCCCTGGAAACTTGAATTTAACCAAGTAGCCTGGGGTTAAAAGGACACCCATGAAGAGCTGGAAAATGCAGAAATAGCACAATTAGTGGTCTCCAGCCAAGCTCATAGTGTTAAATAGGGTAAACTGTCGGAACTCAAAATGTCCCTCAGATATTTTCAGAGGTTCCAGGCCTTGGTCAAAAGCATTTTAGACCCTGGCAAGCAGCTGAAAACAGCTGTGATCTTGAATTTGAACCATGGAATGAATTACCAACTTTGAGGGTGGAACAAGCAGTCACAGAGGGTTAGATGGTATAGTAAAAGTAGTCACAAATTAGAGGGAAAAATTTTTTAGTATTGTACAAGGGGGTTTTAGTACCTGTACAGGGGGGTTTTACTTTGTACATGGGGGTCAGGAATTCTAAGATGGAGGAAAGTGGGCCTGATCCTGTTCTTCCTCCTTCTTATTCCTTACCTCCATGTTCTTGGTGATGTTGGCATTTTTCTATTGGTTTAGGCTGGGGACACACTGTTCAACGTAGATGATAGATATTGGCACATTATTGTAAATATAGTACACGTAGTTTCTGGTATATAATGTTTGTACCATCCCACTGAGGGGCAGAGCCCCGCACGCTGCCCTGCAGGACAGACCTGCGGCAGGGCAGCAGAACATGTTATAGATAAGCAAAAATAAACAACCTTGAAAACAGCACAGACGAATTATGGCTTCTTCTTTGGCAACGGGGCAGAAAGACAGAGACTTTCTACAATCTCGGAATCACCAATACCCACAGATTCCGACAGTAAACCATTGTTGAAACTTTTTTCCATCCATGACTACTCCATGCCTTGCTAGGACAGACATTTAGAAAACAACACTGCAGAACAATTGTCTGGGCTAGAGTTATGGTGGGCTGGCTGCCAGCATTTCTGTCTATGAAGCCTCTTGAATCAGACCCAGAAGAGGACTGAAGAAGCATCTGACCTGCACTAGTTTGGGCCATGAGGCCATATTCCTGTTTGTAGCCGGCAAAAACCATCAGTTTGAACTGAAAATTAGGACTTGCCAAAATCACTGTGCTTCCCTGAAACACACACTTGGTAAACTGATGGTAGACAGTAGTGGGAAAGGTTGAAGATAGGTTATAGTACAGTTAATGTCTCTCAAAACCTCTAAATGACTGGGAAAAGAGATCAATTAAGGCATGGATTATGCTAGTAAATGTCACAGGCTATATTTAGTCTGAAACAGTGAAAGTGTAAAACAAAGGAATAGGACTAATGAGTCTAGAAGAACTTCACTGATGAAGAAAAGATACCTAACATTTTTGAGCTAGTGCCTGCTACTGTGGGGTGAACCCATTATCTGTGTTAACCAGCTGTAGAACCCACCAAAAGATTATGGATTAGAAAATAGGACTTGTTTAGATTAGTTTAACTTGTATTTACTAAACTCCAGGGCCTGGGAAATTTGTGTATTCAGAAAGTTATGAGCTCGAATAATAAAGGCTAATAATGTCAGGAGCAACACTGAAACATTATATCAATAGCACACACTTAGCTAGGCAAGAAATGTTCCTAAATAAAAAAAAGCCATAAGGTATAGGTCCATAGTGCCCATATTCATACATGGCTAGATAATCATCCTTGGACTA